AATAAAAGCTAATTATGTAAATGTCACAGTTTTTTGGCCACATTTGGACGATATATATTTTAGTTTTTTAGAGCGCTACTGTTTTCCATTGAATGGTCTATTCATCGATCCGCACACATTGACAATTTTAATGATGTTGGTGGAGCGGTGCAGCGGTGCTGCGGTGGCATGAGGAAAGCAGGAAAACATTTTAATTTTTATTGCCTCACATTTGATTTGAACCCGTTGTCGAGCGTTTTAAATGAGAACATAACTGCTTCTGCTTCAGCTTCTGCTTCTGCTTCAGCTCCAGCTTCTGCTTCAGCTTCTGCTTCTGCTTCCACTTCTGTTGCCGCTGGCTGCCAATTAACCCTTTCCCATCAGCGCTCTTGTTGTGTGTGTGTGCTTGCCGCATTTTACGGTTTAATTGCGGTGCGGTTGCAGCGGCGTTTGCCACAACACAAACAGAGAAATCAATCTCGAAATGTGTGTTGACAACTCAGGCTCATTGCAAAGGTCTCCTCCTCCTCCTCCTTCTCCTCCAGAGCGGCTCGAGTTCAGCTTCGGTCGGGTGCATTTGAGTGAACCTTAAGGAAATTGCCCATAAAAAATTGCTTAATTTAGCCAAGCAAACAAGCGCAGAAGAAGAGATATGACCAACATGTTAAAGGTAAGTAGAGAAAACCTTAAACTGTGTGTAGACTGTAACTGATGGACTGATGGCCCTTGGGTCGTGGCTTAGAAAGCGGAAGTCGCATAGGCTTTCAAATTGTTTTAATATATGTATGCATATATAATATAACAGATATATGTAATTAATTAAGTTTTTGATGTAATTAAAAATATAAATTTACATGTATTTCATAAGTAATTAATATGCCATTTAATATAGAATAAGCAAAGATATATTTTATGTATTAAAATATAACAATGTAAAATATTTAACTATGATATATTTGTATAAAAATAATATTACAAATATTTATTTAAGTAAAAGCTCAGCTCAATAATTTAAATTATTAAAAATTGTAATAAATTAAGAAAATAAAATAATAATAATATATAAAAATAAATAAATAATAATAATAAATATTGAAGGATTACAAACTTAAGTTATTTCTATTATTTCTTTGGTTTCTTCTACAGCAATACAAACAGGTAAATCAAGTCAAGTAGATGTCTTCAAGGACAATACAAAATTTCCACTTTCAACATTGTTGCAATCAAAGAAAAGTCCAACAACAGCTCAACTTTTATTTATTTAGTGTCAACTAAAGTCAGTCGACACAAAAAATACAAAGCGTAACAAATTGAATAAAATTTATGTTTATTACATTTAAATTAAAATCTAAAATTATTAAAAAAATGTTCAAATAAGAAACAACTTGTAAATCAGATGCGTTTAAGCAAAGCCTTGGCCAAATGATGACATTAAATGAATACAGAAGAGAGCAAACTATGTCAAAATACAAAATTTTGCGTCTAATTGAATGAATGCCTCGCCGCTGAGGCATTGAGGCATTGAGGCATTGAGGCATTGGGGCATTGAGGCATTGAGGCATTTCTATGCATTGTCAAACATTTGGATCTGCTAATCGCGTAAAACATAACACCATTACCGCCATAAAATAAATATCTGTCGCATCGCTTGGCTTCTCATGTCGTCAACCGACGAACACGACGGTTGATGATGCTGCCGCTGCCGCTGCTGCTGTTGCTGCTGCTGCTGCTGCTGCTCATCTTGTACGATTCGAGCGACAACATTTTGATTTATGCCGAAAACGTGTATTGGCCACAAAAACCAAAACACAAATCAAACGCTAACAGCGCGACGAAACATTGCGACAATCCACTGAATCCTACAGCGAGAGCGCTCCTTCGAACACCAGAATCTGTTTCTCTTCATCGGATCGGTTGCTGTTGTTATTGTTGTTGCTGCTGTTGCTGTTGTTGCTGTTGCTGCTGCTTGTGTGCAGCTGAGCGGTACACAAAAACCACAAAACGAGCGCGAAATCCAAATGCTCCGCAAAGTGAACGGCGCGCGCGTTTTTTGTCGCGTCCAACTGATCGAGGCGTTGCAAAAAACGCCTCGGATCGGAAATCGAGCGATCGAATTGTAGATCTGTACGGTCCTGATATTCCTGCCTGCCTGCCTGCATGTCTGCCTGCCAGCCAGCCAGCCAGCCTGCCTCATTTATATTTCGAACGCGAGCGTATAAAAATATTCTGTTGCCCCAATGTGGCATGGCCCAAAAGTGTCGCCCCCAAGCTTATGATCGAGGCAATCACCGATCCAAGATCGATATGTGCGTTCAGCGCTGCCAAAGCTCCACTCTGTCCACAGACAAAACCATTTTTTGTTTTTGTAAAGCCAAGCCAAGCCAGGCCAAGCCAAGCATCCAACCTGTCAGTCAGTCATAGTCATGCCTGATCATTCCAATGTGGGACGATCTGGCTCGGAACAGTTGATGGGGTGCTCGCTGCTCTCTGCTCGCTGCTGGCTGCTGGTTGCTCGCTGCTGGTTGCTGGTTGCCCTAAGGAAGGCCTTCACACTGTGCTGCATTCCTGACCACCAGTTTTCTTGTGCGCATCCTCAACGCCTTTTAGCATTGTTTATGAAGTGCAATGCCCCTCCTGCTTCCAGCTCTGCACGTGATACAATTATGGCAGCTTTTTTGCTCCCCCTTTTGGCCAGCTTCCAGCTTCCAGCATTTCACCAGTATACGTCTCGCTTTTTTCATCCCCTCCAGATTCAAGCTGCAAAACATACGCTTTTCGCATATTTAACTCAATTTCAGTATGCTTACACTTCTCGTGCTGGCCTAATGTTTTATCATCAGGTTGACATCTAGTGGCATCGTACAGCTTTATGATTTCCTTTAACATTGCTAGTAAATCATATCTGGCATTGTAACATTTTCCGAGCATTTTATTAAACGTGGTCAGCACTTATAAATATAGCCGAAAATTATCTATGAAAGGAGTAAAATAATCTATGAAAGGAGTATCAAGCAATATATTTGACAGGAAAGCATCTATGTTATATGTTGGCTATGCAAAAGAAAAAACATATAATACAAATATCTAAATTATCGATAACTCCAACCCTAAGTTGGAAATATATATATATATATTTTGGTTAAGTGTATATGTGTCCTTCAGTAAAAATACACACATCTTTGAGCACTCTCTAAAAAATGCTCAATTCAAAATCGAATTCATTTGCATAATTAAATTTTAGCACACTTTTTATAAGAAAAGCAAGAAAGCTGCTCCGATTACTGCCTGATTAGTATAGCTTATGCAATTGTCAAATAACAAGCTCAGCGGTATTCAGAGTATATAAGAAAACTGCCTGTGTTCAGTCTGGTTAAGTCGACAACAGACTCCACCTGTTGTTGTTTCACATAATTGAAGCACTTCACACCTCTGGCTTGGGTAGTCCTGGGTCTCCCGGTCTCCCAGTCTCCCGGTCGCCCAGTCTCCCAGTCTGTCTTCGCTGTTTATGAATTCCGCTCACAATGTTGCCACTGCAAAGCACATCAATGTCATTGTCGCCTCTCCAAGTTGGTCAGCTACGCACAGTGGGGCCACTAACATATTTCATTATACAAATTCAACTCTTTTGCCTCAATACAAATGCAATTTAAATGATTTTTCTTTTTCCCAATTTTATCTGTTGAAAGTAAATAAATAAATATAAATCAATTTCATGTAAAATGTTTATCTATTTCTTAACAAAAATATTTCACCTGAACATGAATAAAAAATAAAGAAAAAAACATGGAAACTGACTTTGATTATTTTAGGAATTGTTCTGCGATTAGAATTAATATTTATTGTTTTTTAAAAACAAAATACATATTTAAAAAAATATATAATATTGCTGGTATTTTTCAGTTTACAAATCAAATATTTTACACACGTAGAAGTGGTGCAAATGATTGTGGTGTTGAGAGTGGGCTGTCGTGCCACAGTGTGGTGCAGCACCTCCAGTCATCGCTGGCTGGATGGGGGGGAATTGTGGGGCATGGGGGGAGGCAGGTACCATCGCGGGCGATCCATAGTTATGGCGTGTCAGACATCTTGTAATTTTGTACTTTGTAATGAATTTTTGTTGTTGTTGCTGTGCTTGCAACTTGTTGACACTTCATTCGCGCGCAAGTTAATTAAAGAGCCGCTGGCTGACACGGCGAACAGGGTTTCCCCGCGACCACCAAGGCAGCTCATTGAAAACCAGATTAAATATTCATTCGCACTTAGCTACACTCTGGCAGCAAGTACTGCAACTTTACAGTTGAGTGTGTAACGCATGAAAGAAGACATCTTTAAGTCAGCACATGAATATTTCGTAGCTAAATGTGGTGATTGTCTGCACAACTTTGGGCTTACCAAGAGCAGGGATTGTAGGGATATTATTTCTCACTAGTTACATTTATCATATAGTTGTCAGATATCATATATATCTTATCATATAGCTGCCAATTGATTTCCATGGTTTCTCAATTGCTTAACAAGCCTAGATTTGAGTTAGATACAGATTTAAAAAATGATTTGTTTATTATTTACTATTGCAGCAAAGTAGACAGAACTGTGTTCCTTGCTGCAGATAGACCAGCAAGATGAAGTTATCTGTTGATTCTAATCAAGAATATTTTAAATAGATGCACTACCATATTTAGCCCATTTTTACAGAGGCTTGCAGACTATATCTGACTTACTCTTATTACTCTTATTTAGTTATAGGAATGTGTGGAAATTATTCTCTGCCTTACTCACCTTTTAAGACTTTATCATTGAAATGATATGATAATGATAAACACAAATCTGCTGAATGAATGAACATAAAATAAATCCCAAGAGAGACAGCGAATAAGTTAAGAATAAAACGATTTCGATTTCCGATTCCGCCAGGTAAAAAAGAAAAAACATATTTAAAATAATAGAAAGAGGTCAGCCAACAATAAAGGAAAAGAATTTGGAATAATTGCATACATTTATATTTATATATATAGTTTGCTTAAATTTTATTTCGATTAATTAGTTATCACGATTATGGGATCTAGTGTAAACACATTTGTTTAAAACTGGGACTCTTATTCAGCTAAAGTGAGCGCAATCAACTTGGTTTAGTTGACCACCTCAACGCTGCAATCCTCCTCGATGTCGGCCACTTCGAGAGGTGGCCTGGCCAGGTTGGCCGCATCTTCGGAGCTGGCATTGCTGCTGTTGCTCTCACATGAACTGGAACTGGATGTGATGCACTCCAGATTATCATCCTTGGCCGTGCAGCCCTCCAGGCTCGCCTGTGACTCGGTGCTGAGACGCAAGCGTTTCTCAGGTTTCTTCAACAGCTCCTCGATGGAGTAGGGATTACGCTTGCGACTATTATTGTTGGCCAGCGGATCTGTTGTGCTGGCACTCGCCGAACTCATCGATAACGCCACCGGCGAAGATTTACCCGAATCGCAGTCACTCAACGGATCGCCCATCGCACCGGGTTTCGTCAGATCAATGGAGCTTTCCGATTTGGTGAAGCCGCCGCCAGCTGCAGCCACAGCGGCCATGCCCGATGCACTGTGTGGCAAATAGGCGCCACTGTAAGGCAAGATCTGAGCGCCTGTCGTCGCTGCCACCTGGGCGGCCTGCATCTGTGCTTGGGTGTAGTAGAAAAACGAGGGATTCCACAGCCAGTGTTTGTGCAGCGCCGAATAGCTGAGATCTAAGCCACCCAACTGGCTGGAAACGCCACTGGCCAACCCGTGACTGTGACTGTGGCTGTGGCTGTGACTGTGACTGGGATTGTGACTGTGACTGCTCCTGTGACTGGGTGGCAGCTTGGGCGCGGGTTTGAGGGGTAGCCCATCGGCCAGTAAAGACGGCGACGTCGTCGGCGACGGTGGCATTGACAATTTGGTATAGCGTGCCACAGACGCACTTGACACGGTCGCAGTGGGCGGTGCTCCCGTTGTGGGCGTAACCCGTGTTGCCGTCTGAGCTGCTGCATTGCTCGCGCCTGCGTATATTACGGGGGGTGTGGCATAGCCACTAGACGAAGCACCACTGCCCGACATTTGATGTGCAGCTGCCACAGCTGCCGCTGCCGCCGCCGCATTTTGTTGACTCGACGTCATCTCATCCGTCCACAGTCCGCTATTGCGCAGTATACGATTAATCGAGCTGATCGACGGCACCGAGCTGGGATCACAGACACGCTGCTGCTGCAACTGCTCCCGTATTTCCCATGCAAACATGCCACTGTTCTCCTCTTTTAGCCGTATTATTTTCTTAACCACTGTGGGCGTGGCCACTTGCTGTTGAAGAAACAAAGAGCGCAGCGTTAGTCAGTGTGGCTTAGAGACTACAGCAAAAAAAAAGCAAGACAACTAAATCTGATGTCATATTTAAAAACTGTTGTAGATTTGTACTTTTCTAATTGCTAATCATTAAAGTTGAACTATTTTTGGTCTGACTTGGTTTTATTTCGTAGTTCCCCAAATCCTTTTTTAATTTTCATATGCCTTTGTTTGATTTTAATTCAGATGAATTATTATTTATTTATTTTTTCTTATTTTGAAATTTAATTTAATTATTGACTTTAAATGTATATCATTTAATTTGTATATTTTTTAACCAATTTTAATTTCATATTTATTTTAATCCTAATAAATTTTGTAAAATTTGAGCACTGCTTTTCCTTGCCTTTTAGCCAGTCAACAACAAATTTATTTTGTCTGCATTGACTTAAATGCCGTGAAATTCAATTGTGCAAAAACGGTGCCACCTGCCCCAAGTATATTTTCATATCTCTGAGATACACACACATATCTGAGTGTATTGAGGCCTAACAAACACCCGCATTCGCTGTTATTTTTAATTTTTTTTTTTTGTTGAGATTTTAATCAACTTGTTTTTTGAGCAATATGTTAATTTGCATAGCAATTTTGAGAGCAGTGCCACACCCCATTCGCACCGCTTAAGGTTCACGTGTGACGCGGCAATTCATTAAAAATTCATAAATACTCGTATATGCAGTCATAGTCGACCCTAAAGGTACTCCACATTTACATCACAGATCTTATCGGATCGTGTACACGAATGCGCTTTATACAGTAGCCGGACAAGTAACCCCTGCTTTGTGTCCATTACTCCGTCCATTACTCCACTCCGTCTGTCCAGTGTTCGCCCGTCAAACCACATCCCGCCCGGGGGTGACACTTCTTTATTGACCCGGTGTAGGTGTTAAATGCACGTTTTGTTTGAGCAAGTGTAAGCAGTTATTGAATCACCATAGGGCGAAATGGGACTGCACCATTTACCTTGAGCTGCACTTGGCTTGGGCGTTAATTAGAAATACGGTTTCGAACTGGTGCCGACGGCACACCTCAACAACAATTGTTCGACATGAAAAATAAAAAACACATGGACATCCGTGATTGGGCCCCCAACCAACAATTATTATCGCAGTCTTCGCCAGCTCGGCACGGTAGCTGCAGGTAGCTGATTGAGCATGTGAATTTTGGCAGCTGACTGAAATCAGGCTGTAGACTGTAGTCCCTGGAGTGACAAAAGCGTGCTATCACCTTATCAATGGCAGCAAATGAGATTGATTTGTTGCGCTCTGCCCACGGCAGTTGTTACCTCAAACACTCCATAAAAGCTATCATTTCAACATGTAAAAAAAACCAACAACAACATGTAAACTAGCCATATTATCTGTGATACATTATGGATTTACTGCACTGCGTTTGATTTTTATACATATAATCGTTTGTTGATTTCACGGCGCGTACACATGCCCATATCCCACGAAGCCCAACCACAAACCACCAACGACCAAACCCAATCCCAATCACACAGCGACTTACCTTCGTTTTGCTGCCACCAATGGATCCCGGCCGTATGGAGCCTGTCTCATAAAAACGCGTCAGAATTTTGGAAACGCAGCCTACCAGAAGCAAAAAGCAAAGCAGAAAAGCCTTTTAGTATATTTTTGTTGTTAAATTGCGCCACTTGCCACACTGCCACACACTTACCATGAGACACCAGCAGCTGTCTGGATATGTCACAGGGCCTAACGCCGCACAATGCATGATCCACGATGCGTCGACGCACACAGTCCGGCAATGGACGTCCATTGACAAAGACCCCGCCCAACTGATTGACACCCGCCTGACCTGCAAATGCCAAATAGAAAACCAAAATAAACACACAATGATCATAAATTAGTGTGCAATGAATATAGTAGTTAATTGTTAGTTTCTTTAAATAATATTCCACTGCAACAAACTGTCAACAAAAAAAAACAAGTTGGGAAAACATGTTGAGCAAGTTAGAACGACTATTTTGGACACGCCTTAGTTTGTCATATGGAGTTAATCCTCTGATTTATAATTTTAGTTCGCAGTTTAAGTTATTTGAATTTGAATTTATGTTAGCACTGTTCTAAAGATACTGGCTATTAACTGAATACTCCACAATTGTGTAGTTAATTTTTATCAGAAAGGAAGAGAAATTGTTAACGGCTAAAAAACTCATCTTCGGACCAATTGTTCCTATATTGATATAGTAAGTCGACTTATGATTTTGTGACTTTGGCGCTGATATCTTGCTAAAAATTAATTATTTTAATAAGAGAACAAATATTTTGAACTATTATTCCTATGGCAGCTACATAATATAGTGCTTTGATCGGATCAGTAGTCGAGTCCTGAGTGAGCAAAGCAATTAGATGATCACATTCAAATAACTTTAAGATTGAATGAGTTGTGAATAAAAGAATGAACGGATAGACGAACATATCTATTTCGATATATATACTTTATAGGTTCCTAGCTGTCTGCTTCAGAAATCTTGGACAAATGGGTATAAAAATGTTTTATTCGTATATTAGTGTATAATGTAGTATCTAGTTGAAGATGGACTAATGATTGGTAATTAACTAAAAGTTGGTAATTTGCCGTCCAAATGAGCCGTTCCAAACGTGTTATTCGGTAATAATTGTGTGTAATCGTAATTCAGAATTGGCCATCGTTCCACTCTTTACCGGTTGGCATCGGCTCGATGGCACTGCTCGGGGCAGTACTTTCAAATTGAATAAAGTGCGAATTTAATGTTGACTGTCTCTTTTATGGTTGGCCAGCGAGTTCCGCCTGGAAGGGCAGCGATTACTTTCGAGGTGTCGCGATTATCACGAGCCAAATAAGTATTTTCAAGTTTTCTTTTGGTTTTTATTTATTTATTTTTTTTTTTTTGTCGATGCGATCGCATCGAACGCTTTCATTGAAGCCGTTTAAGCTCATTAGGTAACCAAAGCGATCAAACAAACAAAAAAACCAAAAAAAATAAATATGCAAATAAATAGACAAAAAAACTCACCTGTATGTGGCATGTTTGTAATCCGAATCCAAACTAATTTTTGACAACTTCTTAAAGTGAATAACGTGCCCGGCGTCAGCCCAGTGAATACCTTTCTGGGTTTGGCTTACAGTTTTGCTTAATCGTCGAATTCTAATCAAACTTGAAGCCAGAACCTCATAAAACTACACGTTGTCTGCTGCTGCTGCTGCAGTTGATGGATGATTGGATGGATGTGGATCTGGATGTGGATGTGGATGTTTCTGAGCTGTTTCTGTTTTTGGTTTGGGATGTTGGCGCTGAACGTTCTCCCGCCAGAGCTAGTAACTGGTAGCTGGGGAGTTTATTTTACGGCTTCCACGAAATCTGTGCACCCGGGATTCGGATCGGTGAAAAACTAGTAAGGAAAATACATAAAACTTAATTATTTCATAAAACTAGCAAGGTAGCCACAAAAGACAATGCGTATATATACCTATCTATATATATATATATGGTTGTAGTACTAGTTTTAACATAGTCAACGATCAGGGGTTTTTAATGTGCATCGGTTAATGTGCCCAGTGCTTGTCAGTGTATGTTTATGTATGTATGTATGTGTGTATGTTTGTATGTTTGTATCTCAAATTAGCTGCTTATCAGGCACATTCTTGGCACAGCATGAACTGGCCTATTATCAGAGCTCTTTGACTACCTCCAAATCCACATTGCATGTTCAGCCAGCTCGCGTTCGCGTTGTCAAATTATGCAAATGCCTAAGCTTTTGGGCAACAATTAAAAACAAAATTTTGGCCAATTGCTCATTTCGTTAAAAACATACCAGAAAAAAAAAAACAAAAAAAAAATAATAATATATGCAAATGTGAAGCTCGACGACAGGCGGCTGGGTCACCCCCGCCGCGGTTTCCGCTTCCTGTCATTAGAATGAATGGTCCGGCAGTTTAACGGAGTACTCCCTGGATAACCTGTCGCCAGGCTGTCAGAGGCATGAAAACGCGCGCCGAAGAACCGTATAAATCAAAAAGTGTAACTACCCCTTGGCTCCATAATCTCCCTCTAGTTATATATATGTGTGTATGTGTGTGTGTGCACTTTGTCATGGCCATGTTATTATGGAATTCACATTAGATTTAATTGCCCAAAGTCCTTAGGATTTGACTTTGCGGCTATTTTTTAGCTCGTAAAAATAAAAGAGCCGAAATGAGCGTGTGGACAACAGCGCTGCTCTTTAAAGGCACAAAATTAAGTTGTTTTTTTATTTTGTTTTGTTTTATTTCATTTTGTTTTGGTTTAGTTTAGTTTTGGCTGGAGCAGCCCGTGGCAGCCGTTAAGGTCGTTAATTGCCACTGACTTATGCCCACATTAAGCAGCGATAAGCATTTATTTGCAAGCTAAACTCTTTTTAGTTTTGAAACGAAAGGGTTTCTTTTACTCTAATTCTCTTGCGTGTTTTACACAACATTTACTTATCGAAACTACAGAAACTCAGTTTTGATTTACTTTGTACTTATTATTCGAGCGATGGATATGCCAATGTGTATATAAAATGAGGGAGAACAAGTGGTTGGTCGAAACAACTAATTAAAATAATATATTTGACGACTATATTATATTTCAAAGGGTAGAAATGAGAGTCGCCAATTGGCAAACAACCTGTACTCAATTTTTATATACAAAAAGGAAACCCAAACTTTTGAAACTGTGAAAGACTCTCACAATTTGTTATAATTGCACGAGTTTGGTTTTATATCGCATTGCTGGTATACCAAATATCTATAGAAAATAGCAATACCACTCCATTTTTATATATTGATATATAGATAGTAATATATATTTAAATATATAGCTAAATTCGTGGGTTGCTACTAGATAAGGGATTTCTTTAAAAACATCTCTGTTTCTTCACCTTAACCCTATTAAGGAAGTTGGGGTTATTGATAAGGTAAAATTAAGTAGTCTCAGCTTTAGATTGTGCTCATGAATTTAAATAGTTTGAGGCAATATGCTTCCTTTGCATTTGCCATTTCAATGATTTTTAATTAAGACACCCAAGAAAGCATTTACTTTAGCTCTAATTAATTATGAAAAGATAGGGCAGGTGCCCAAAGCTCAAGCTTAGCCAATACGCTATTTAAATACATACTTTTCAAGCGTAACACGCATAAAAATCAATAGAAATTAGTTAAACATACAATAATTTAAATGCGCTCGATTGTTGAAAGTGGAACCGACAGGTTCCTCGAGCTTCTGTTTCGGCACACAAAACAAGCCGGGCCTGAGTCTCTCCAGTCTCTCCAATCTCTTAAGACTCGAAAGTCTCATTTGGTAAAGTAAACAAGAAGCTGGCTGAGGCAAGCCAAAGATTGAATACCCTTTACAGACCGCAGACCAAACTGAACTCAGTGCAATTTAATATTTCTTTTATATATTCCAATGATAAACTTATATACTTTTTCTCAACTTGTTAGGAGTAGGCTAACACCTATAACTGATTAGTTTATATGGGATATCTTATTAGTTTTATTTATTTTTTCCAAAATGCTCATAATAACACTGCTCTGAAATATTTGTATATCCCAAATAATTTCCATATATTTTTTAAATTGAACATTTTTTTCTTTTCCAAAAACTCCTCTTGCAAATAGAGACTCAAAGTGTACGAAGCTGAAGAGTATAAAAGAGCATATCTTAATAAGGCGGTGATGTCTTTTTTTCAAAGGTATAATTATTGTTAAACATTCGCTTCAGCATTTGAATTTAATTATAGGCTTGTGGTTTTTGTGGTGCAGCAAACTACAGATTGATAACATATTAAATTAGAATACCCTTTGCCACATTGCCACTAGGCAGCGAAGAACGATCAGAAACCGAATAACGATCGATATTAGTTTTTGGGCCCGTTGGCTACGCTTACCAAAAAAAGAAAAAAAAAAAAAATAATGAAAAGAAGTTAAATAAGTTGTTCGTGGGCTTGTTTGGTAGAAAGCTTTAAAAATCAATGGGCCATAATGGCAGACGGCATGTTAAAGAATTAATTAGCATACGATTTTTGAATATTGTCGCTGGTTTCGTGGGAAAAAGAGCGGCAGCCTCATTTATGAGTTATCAGAGGCCGGCGGAAACTCAATTTACATGCGACTTTTCGCGAGCTTTTCGCTTTGCAATGCAAATTATTTTTGGGGATCTCATGAAATTAAAGCAATATCCGTTGTGTGTTGTGTGTGTTGTGTGTGTTGTGTATTCATTCATTTATTTGTTTTAATGAGGTTTGAATAAATTGATTTAAGTGCCGTTACTTTGGCGTTCATTAAGGAAATTAGCCTATACTAAAAGCATTGATTGATGTGTTAAGCAAGATAAGAAAATAATATCAAACACATTTTAAACAATGCCGCAACTCGATCAAACGATTTCAGTGAGGGGTGTTATTATATAGTGACGACATTTCATGATTGATATGCAAGCCATATTAATTGGCCGGCATTTTAATGCTGGTTATTGGCTAGTATATTGACTAGACTAGAAGAACGCTCCACTTGGACTCTTAATACACAAATATGGAGGGATATCTCCACTAGCACTATGAAAGACTGACAGCAAGTCCATCTTACCAAATCTAACTTTTTAATTATGAACATTGAGCATATCCATTGTGTTATTTGTGTTGTTGTTTTTTCTCAACTTGTAACTATTTTTTGTCACATCTCACCTTGGTAACTCTTCGTATTGATATCACCAATGTATATATATATATGTATATATGTATGTATATAATCAATTATTCACTTCGTGCACCAACTTTGAACAACACACAATTTGTGGCAACGGCAACATCCTTTTTGCAGGGAATTAGTAACGTTCCATTAAGTAACGACGGTATTCGCTTGCCGATCGCGACGATGCTCACCCTGTCACTCGACCGTCAAAATTTCAACTAATGCATGCGATTCGCGCTGGCAACGCACAAAGCATCAATAATCTGCTGTGCTCTGCTCTGCTCTTCTGCTCTTCTGCTCGGCTCTGCTCTGCTCTGCTCTATCCGTGTCCGGTGCCCTGCCGTGTGCCATCCAGCCAGCTCTGGGCTACTGCCGCAACCGCAACCCGAAAAAAAGAATAATAATATAAATACACACACACACACACACACACACAGACACACACACACATACACACTAACAAATGTTCACGGCCTCTCAACGGCTACAAGGCGGACGAAACGTTTTTCTGGTGTAACCGGTTTCACGGCAACAGCAAACAGCAAACGGCAAACGGCAACCAACAACAGTCAGCAGCAAGAGCAGCAGCAGCAGCAACAGCAGCAGTATTAACAACAACAACACCAGCAGCAGCAACAGCGACAGCCCCAGTTGAGCGACCCATCAGCCAATCAGCAGTCGCCTAACAATGCGCATGTGTTGCGCCGGCAGCAGCTCGCCTCTGATTGGTCAACAGCACACTCGGCGATGATGCCCTGAAAGGTCTGACACAAACGCACACATCCGACGACGCCGGCATGACAGGTACAATGGAGTTGAAGCATACATTTTCACACGATTATCGATTATGCATTTATTAAATTAATAATATAACATATATATATCTACGATATTAATCAGATAATACAATAAATATATATTGTAAAAGACAGTTCGCTTCAAATGCGCATTAATCATCATTTTCGAAAACTTTAAGCAATCGAATTAACTTGTTTTTAATGTGTGTTAATTCTACGCATAAACTTGGCCAAACTCAGCAGCAAAGTTGCAAGGATGGTCTTTTGTTTTTTGGAGTGCACTTGTTATTCATATAGGTAATATTTTATGGGCTAAAAATGTATTCGATTGCCATTGTACCCCGATCTTGAAGCGTTGCGGTAGCCGTATCCGTAGCCGTTGCCGTTGCAGTCGCGCTCCGGCCAATCGGCAGCGTCAACGCAGCACGCGAACACTTCTCCATGCCCACCACAATGTGGCATAGCCCTTAAGTGTATGTGTCTGTGTGTATATGTGTGTGTGTGTGTACGTGTGTGAGTGTGGTAGTGGTTGTATTTGGCGTAGCCGTTACCCTGAGCGAAACAACAACGGCTACGGGCGTGCGCCGGTCCTTGCCACATCGCGTCATGACGTGACTGCCCCTCGGTTACCAGGAGCTTCGCTCAGGAGTGGGTAAATTGCGTTTTGGGTGGCGGCAGCGGCGGTTGCGGCGGCGGCATTAAGAAACGCTTTGGTGGCGTAAGCGTTAATTGAATATCACAATTGTCGCCAGCCATTTCAATTGAAATTCAATTGTAAATGGGCAAAGGCTGCAAGCAAAAGATAAAACTGTCATTTTGCCATATAAAAAGTGACTGTTTGTCTGCTGATGGGGGAAAAAAAATAACGGAAAATACCGTTTTATATTTGGTAAGTATAATTGAGCGAGCATGACTATAAAATCGATAAAGCCCAAAGCGCTGCTATTACCAACAAAAAGTCATTCAAACACAAATGTTACCAGTTTTAGGTGGCTTTTATTGTGAATCATTAAAACTGGCATAGGTCACAAACAACATTGCCTATATTCAGTGGAGTGGGGGTCACTGCTCACTGCTAACTGCTCACTGCTGACTGCTGACAGAAAGGCCGACACCGAAACTTCTGCAAGGCAGAGATAAAACTGTCAAAAGAGCGTAGGGCCCGAGTCGAGTGGCTCACACAATGGTCTTTGCCACTGGTTGCGAGTGGCTCATCCTTGTGTTTTTCATCACAGCCAACTGCCAACCAGCGGCTGCCTTGTCTTTTCCCATTCAACGAAGCGCGCAGTAATAAGATCAAGCCAACCAGCCATGCGTGTGGAAGCGACGCCCAACACACACGAGTCCGTGGCTAACGACCCACCCAGCACCAGCACCAGCACCCACTTTCTGCCTGCTTGCCTCATGTCTGTCTGATGTCTGACAGGGCGATTATGTAACCATGAGCTTTTCAAGTGGCTGCAATTACCCACAAAAAAAAAACAAAAAAAAAAAAAACTCAGCCCAGAACACGCCCCAATTAAGGTCGTCACACAAATCTGTGTGGGAAGTTCAACTTATAATCCATTCAAGGCACAAAAAATGAGCAACCGGAAGTGGAAGTCATTTGAGGGCAGGACATCCTTGCAATAGAAGGGCGTCAAATCGGCTTAACTTCTTCCAATTGACTGGCGTCTATTTTATCGCATTGCTTGTCGCGATGTTTATCTTCGATATTACATTCGCTTATTGTGTAATTGAAATTAAATCCACTTGTAAGCATAATCGTTTGCCCAAACACTCAAAATGGCAGTGATTTAAACAGTTGTGATAAAATTGTGCACACATCCATTTGAAAGGTGCCGAAGGATACCCAAAAATAAATATGCTTTTTATCGCACTCAATAGCCAAAATACAAAGACGAGTTCAAATTTTGATTGTATATGCATAAATATATAAAATAGAAATAAAATTGATATCAGTTTGGCATATTTTTTCACTTTTCAATTATCCTTAACCTCAAATCGATTTGAATAAATGAAAATATAAATTTGTTGTTTGAAATGAGTTGGGATGGATTTTGGCGAATTGTGAGTTCATTTTTTGTAGCAATTCAAATAAGTTTAAATAACATATATAATGGAATGTGCCTTCAGATAACTATGTAAGTTTTAATACTATAAATAAACAAATATTATAATAAATACATAAATAAAATAATGATTAATATAGAGAATGTATGCATTTGTGTTTTCTTATATAATGTTAAGCAATTTCCATTTTAATTTGTAAATTTGAATGCCTATTCCTCTGTGTTTGTACAATTAAATTGTTTTCAAATATATACTCTTGATCCTCCATCATAAATTCTTAACTTCGGAGCAATAATGATTGAAATAAACATTGATAGTCAATTTTGATATGTGGATCTTTGCTTCTCTGTGCATATGCATAATGAAAATGTCTTGACTACTGGGTAGCCTTTAGGTGAACCCTGTCGAGCACACATCCTTAATATCGGAGCAACTGCAGGCGTATTCCTGACTGCGTGCTTGTAGCCCATTATAAATCATCCACAAAAACTTAGTATGAAAGCAATTTAATTCAAACCGAAACTTGAATACCCTGCCTATGTTGGTATCAAATAATATGTTTAGCTGAAGAAAGTTTTAAAAGAATGTGGAGTGATACATAATGTTTTTTATTTAGTCCAGTCTACTAAGAAATTCATTTTAAATTCCAAATAAAATATTTAAAAATATATAATAATATTAAATATAAACGTATTTATAAAAATGAATAAATAACTGTATAATTTAAGTGTAAGCTATAAAATAAAATAATAATCACATATGAACATGTAGAATGCCTATAAAATGTATAATGATCTTATCTAGGTGAGATATGAGATATGATCAAAGAGACTACCTTCTCCTTGGGTCCACACTCATTAAAATGGTTTAGTATTTGAAATTAGCTGAAGCTCGTGCCTGAGGACAGGTTGTCTACCGAAATGACTGCAAGGCAGATTTCATGGTCATTAATGAATAACTCAGTCCGGCGTTTTCGCTACTGTCTACAAAGTACACCTACCATCCAAGAATTTGCAAATTGCCCGCTCGGCAAAAAGTTTGGCATTCGTTGCGTGGGTGCCTCGAAGCGGTCGATTAAATTAGTTGGAAGCAGTTTCTTTCTTTTCTTTCTCATTTTTTTTTTGCGACTGTCATATAAAGAGGCATAAATGTATATGTATAAGAACGTTCCGAAAATATACAGTATATTTTCTAATTGCAGGGGCGGTCTAATTGAGGGTTCGGTTTCGAGTTTGCGCTCTGTGCTGGGCATTGCAATCAGCAGATGCATCACACAGCATTTTGGTCATCGCAACAAAGCCAAAGTCAAAGACGACCAAGACGACGACGACGACGACGATGATTTTTGTGCGGGCCAAATTGGCGTAGGTTACGCATGTGCCTGAAATCATGAACATCAGTTTGCCTCGCCCTTTGTCGTTGTAGTTTGTTGATGGATGCAGCCCGGGCTGACAAGACAAGTTGCAGCAGGCTCTCGCATCGCAACTGCACCTTGCGCCAGGGGCCAAGACACGCGCCCAAAACAAAAAAAAAATAAAAAAACAAAAACAAAAACCAGCAGCAACACTTTGCCGGGGCAGGCAGCAGCGAAGCCGGACAAACGCTGGGACAATTAGGCAATCCTGGCTACACAGTTGTTGCCGACAAACGATAAGATAAAGTTGCTGGAACTACAACTACAACTACAAATACAACTACAACCTCTGTTATATTGTTTAGGAGTTGTGCGTGCAACAAAAATTTCGGTTTTTAATGTTTTTGTCCGCCTACACGCGATTTTCAACTGTCATAAAAATTGAGAGGCCGTCGAGGATGCGTAGGTCCTATGCCTTCTCCAATTTGGATCACTACCAAATGGCCAATTAATAAAAACGTAATTTTCACAGAGTCTTTTGCGGGCGACACCTGCACGAGTGGGACGCTTGGGTCAGCAAATCTTGATAAGAAAATGAACAATTACAAAAGACTATGACAGCTCGCCGGCAAAATTGGAACATTGTCTCACATTAAAGGACGAAACACAACGCTCCAATAAGCACACAAAATGGCCGACTAAGGCAAGGACCAAGGGCAAAGGGCAAAGGGAGAAGGGTGAGCGGCTGCCTGCTTAGAGAAACTTTGCGTGTGTTAAGGGCCTGTCGCCATAAATTTAACTCTGACATAATTATGTCTTAATTGAAAAGTGGTAAAGAGCGTCGGGCTCAAAAATAATGCCACAATTTTGGGAGTTGCAATAACAGTAATCTATATTATTTAATCAATATCAAACTGAAATATGTTTCTCCGTGTGTAACCGAGACTCAGTGTTTTTCTACTATAAAACCAAAATTAAATGAATTTTACTAAATTCTTTATATATATAAGCATTATATACAAGCAAACTAATAACGTAAAAAATGTAATAAAAATAATATTATAATATAGATAGTTTCAATTCAGAAACTGTTAAACCAAGCACTTCCCTCCAAAGTAATATTTCAAATATATATATATATACATATATATGTATCTATATGTATATGTATGTAATATACATCGTAATTGCATTTTAAAGGCGCAAACCCATTTTAGAGTCGTTCAGCCCATCATAGAGACGAAATCAATTTTACGCTTGTCTATGACCAGACAGTCAGCAAAAATATTCCTGTTGCCACAGTGATGCAGTTGCTGTTGCAGTTGCAGTTGCATTTGCGGATTCCACAAAAGTGTTAAACTAATCGTAAAACTTTGGCCTTCGGAACAGCATCGTAAAATGCACAAAAAAAAAATAACAAAAAGAAAAGAACAGTGTTCACCTTCCGTATCTTTGGCCAAATGCAATATTTTACGAGCCGCAGCCGCGCCTCTTCAAGACGCGCATCTCAATGGGCCAATCTCAGTTTGTGGCTATGGCATCCGTTCGTTAGCCCCTTTGGCGGCCGAAAGAAACAGCGTCAAATACAGTAGCTGGACTAATTGAAAAATTAAAGTTGAACGACGACTTAGACTGCGGCACTCACTCTGTGCCTGATTTGAAGCTTGTGGCAAAAGCGGGCCCTCCTCACATCCAACTAGATGAAGCAGATGAAGTTCAATATAATAAATTTAGCTGTATTACAATTGCTGAGCTATGCTGAGCATGTTGAGCGGAATTATTACCGGACTAATTTAGAGTTCAGCCAGATAAATAAAATATCTTAAAGATTTTTGGAAACATTTTGCACTCAGAAATTAAATGAACCGGTGATGAAAATCGACCTGAAAACTCGAGACTTTATTGAAATAAAAATTATTAATATTAGAAATTCTTTTTCTATATTTAAGAAATATATTTCTTAATAGTTAAACATATTTTTAGATAGAATAAAATTTGATCTCTCGACTGATATGTTAAAGTTTTTCAACAAATTGTTTTTAATGTTTATAAGTTAAGTTGAAGTTTATTCAAAATTAAATTTTATGTAGTTATAAACTACCTCAAATATTTGTGTATTTGAAATCCTAAATTACAAATATGTAATTATAATAAAAGAAACGAGAGCTACAGTTAAAGTTCTGTGTACATCTTAAAAAACAACCCACATTCTAAATTAGACATATTCTTTTCTTCATTATACAACAGTTAAAAATATACAACCAAAAAAACAAGAAATATAGTTTTAGAATAATACAATTCAGTTATATTTTTCTCTGAGTGTTCTATCCTATTTGGGCATGTATAAATGGATACACCCACTGCTTCCTTGCAACTGCAACAATTGAGCTAATGTGGCAGTCTGCACACCTTGCCAGACACGTTAAGGATGCGCCGAAGCATTTTCGACCAGACTCATAAATAATTGCATCGAGCTTAAAAGGAAAACAACAACAACAACAACAACAAAAAAACAAGCCTTAATTCGCTGCTGCTGAAAATCACTTCTGGTTTTTGTCGAGATCAGTGGATACACTTATCGATGGATCACATGTTGTTTACAATCTTGAGACACACGCGTTTGTCGTGCGCAGCTGCGGTTGCCTCTCACGTAATTTGCAGTTGCACAGTTGCCCCAACGTCATGTTGCATGTGCACCCATTTGTGAGGTGTGCAATCGTCCCCGGCGATCTGTTCAAATTTTTGCGAATTTGTTTTGGGTTCGTGTGCCCCGAGGGTGCATGCGCAAGAAGGGTTAGCCATCATCGTCCTGTATACCCTTAATAACGCATTTGACTTTAAATATATAAGTGCATTAAGAGCGCTTACAAGCAGCGCTACACTTAAGGCGTTTTAAGGATGTAATTTTTGTGTATGTATGTCTGTCTGTATGTCTGTCTGTGTGTCGGACACAAAGCGATGTAAATATGTCTGCTCTGTGGTCAAGTCATAGCTATATATTACCCGTTATAACGAGCTCACAGCTCATTGCCATTGTCAGCAGACATTGTCAGCATGCACAACATTTTGAAATTTCAAAAATTTATTACACACCACAAACATAATCAAAATCGCATCAAAACAAAAGTAAAAACCAAACACATGCTGCGTTGATGATGACAGCCGAATGGCTGGTAAACAAAAGACAGATCGAGTGGACCGCAACCGTTGAGGATGTGCCACCCTGGAATACGCACTTTCCATTCACGCTTGGTTGCATCCCGAAGGTGTCCGGATGGGCACAGATTGGCATTATTTGAATCCGCATATGTTGTGCTGACATCCCTAAAAATGCGTGCGGTTTTTCGTTGTTCGTTCAACATTGCCGTTGTTGCAGTTATTGCTTGCCACAAAAGTTACGTCTCATTTAATTCGAGGAGCATTGTTGACACCAAGCGTTGACATTTCAATAAACTGCCATAATTGATGTGTCGAACTGAACAATTTTGCGACAGGTGTCAGCTACACCAAAAATAATATTCTGGCTGAGCCAATCTCGACCAGAAGCCAAAGCGGAAATTGTAATGTTCACACATTTGCAGCTCATCAATTTCCATTTATCCTGTCAGTGCATCAAGTTCATTCAACTTTGATGTTCATGTTTAGCGCCTTGTTTAACTTAATCGCGATCAATTTGTTTTTTGGCCAAGCTGCACAGGCAGCTTTAACGCTTGTCGCCCCAAACAACGGTGCACAACTTCCGCAGCTTCCGCACAGCTTCCGCACAGCCCGCTGACCGCTGCCCGCTGCCCGCCACATTATTAAGCCATCAAATTGAAAACTTAATATAATTACATAAACGATGGCAGCCACAACGCCCAAAGCGCACTTTTCTGCATACGATCCCAGAAAATTTACCAACCAATTTTCGGGCACAGGCTGCACACGCTGCACATGCAGAGCACACACAGTACAGTACATTGTGGCATCTGTGTACCATGCTTATTACATTTAATGACCAGAGCAAAATTTAGCAGAACATTTTTGAGCAGCCGGTCAGCCGGACAGTCAGACAGAGTCTGGATACTGCCCATGGCGCAATCTGTACATAATATGGGGCTCCCATAGAGGTTCAGGCTCTGGACATGTCTGCAAATTGCCACGTATTGTCAAAAAAGTGTACATTGAAAGCTGCGACGATTTTTATTGATTTAGTTGGCTTACGATAACAAGGAAATCATTTTGCTATTTAAGTACGTACACTAAAAATAAATTCGCCCTGAAATTTAGAAAAATGGTTTAGCTTTAATGCCAAGCGCAACTCGCCTTATTATTAAAGAAATTATATTTCTAAAATCAAGGCAGTTTCTTATCTTAATTCAAGAGAAGACTTTTCTAAAATTTGGCGCACAGATTTCTAAATTCTAGAGTGTTTTTATAAGTGTACACAGAATTCTTAGATTCACTTTTTTGATACTTATATGAATATTAGATATTCGACTGGTTTCTCAATTTTAGAAATGATGGTTTTTTGCATTTATGCTTTTATCATGTTTCTATTATTTCAATTATTAGAAAATAATTGGTAAATACTAGAAAAAGGCATTTCTAATTTTAGAAGTTTTTTTTCAACTAGCGAGATTTCTAAATTATGCCGATTGTCTATTATTTCTATTATTAGAAAATAATTTCAGATAAATAAAAATTATTTCTAGAAAAGAAAAACTTTCTAACTGCAGAGCAATTTAAATTTAAGGGTGATTTTCTAAATTTCAGGGAGATTCATTTTCCTCGAGTGTACGAGATGAATGTGTGTATGTACTAAATTTTATCACAGCACTAATTACATAAGTTATATTTATAATATTTTAATTTCCTGCTTCCTGCCTAAATGGCACAATAACCTCTTGCATCTCGACGGCGGTGGGTCTTTTCTTGCGCGCCCCACTACGGAACTGCTCCTCGATCTCAAGCAGGGTGCGTCGTCGCGTCTCCGGCAGGAACCAGTAAATAAATACCGTTGCAAGGAACGACATCGCCCCATAGAACACAAAACAGTTGCTCATGCCAATTGCCACTCTCATATCCGGATAGATTTTGATGCAGAGAAAGGCGAAAAACATGCCGACAGCCACAGTTAGACCCGCTGCCGGACCACGCACCTTCTGCGGAAACAGCTCCGAGATCATGAAGAAGGGCAGCGTATACAAGCCCAACGTGCTGAGCACAATGAAGCTAATAATGGCCACGACTGGTAAGTAAGGCACACCTTGCAACAACTCAAACCAGCCAGTGCAAGCCAACAGCAGCATGGACACGGTCATGCCCACCGTTGAGATGATGCCAGCACGTCGACGGCCCCACTTTTCCAGGACATAGCCCATGGGACAGGTGGTGAGCACTCGTGCTGCGCCAATGAGTACGGCACAGGTGAACGGATCAATGGAGACGCCAGCATTCGTGGAGATTTGCACGGCATACACAATAACCACGAAAATGCCCGAAAGCTGCTGGAACGCAAACAGACCCATCAATATAAACAGCGGCTTGTACACCTCCGGCAACTTTAGGCAGCGCAAGAACGAAGGTTTCCGTTCACCATCCCGCAGCTGAATCGATTTTTGCAGCACATTGAACTCCTCCAATACCTCGGGATGGCTGATGTGTGCTATATAAATATATATATATGCATTTAATGATGCTAATGTTATTGGTTTATGGCTGAATATGGCTTACGTGACTTATCGAGTCCACGAAAATAGTTTAGTGACTTCTTGGCCTCCTCCACACGTTTCTTGGCCAACAACCAGCTGGGCGTCTCGGGCAGGGGCAGCACACAAAGCAGAGCCGTTATCTGATAACCACAGCAAATGAGGGCAATGAGGCGAAAATCATTGCGTATAAAGTAGCCAATGCTATAGAGAACTGTGATGCCCAATGCGACCGATATCGAGGTACCCAGTATGAGGCTGCCACGTGAACGGGGCACACTAACCTCTGCCGCATAAACACCCGCAGGTGCCGTAGCCAGACCCATTGTAACACCTGCAAATGAAATTGAACTTCAATCTTGGCTCTTGAGCACTAGTAATCGAATCCACAAAAACTTACCAATAAGAAAACGTGATACAATCAGCTGCATGTAAAAGGACTCTGAATTTGTTGTACTCGCTGTGGCAAGCAGTGACCAGGCAGTGATGCCCATCATGTTGATCACATACAGCGTATGTTTCCGTCCAATTCTGTCCAGTATTAGTCCCGACAATATTCCACCCAATGGGCAGGATAAGGTGTTTATCGACGCAAACCAGGAAGCCTGTGTCACATTCAAGTAAACCGGCTCCTCTTTGCTTGTCAGCTGGCTGAACACAACTGTGGGCAGAGCCAGGCTGAATCCAGTTGTTAATACACCCAGATTGGCCAGTATAACCATTACTGCCTGACGCCTGATTGCTACCGATTGCTCACCCACCGGCCTTGCTTTCTGTGGTCGATCCAAGCCGGTTACAACTTTGATTTGATGTCCATTAAACAGCCGCTGATCAAGTTCGGCTGAGTCGCCCATTTTGCTTGTCTCCTGAAAAAGTGTGAAACGTGTTTAAATAATAAAAATCTATTCTTATTCGTAGTCAATGAAACCGCAACGATTATGAATTCTAATTTTAACAGTAAACAAAAACAAATAATATAAGTTAGCAAATAAAATTGTCTAAATATATATTATATGCATATAATGTTTGAAGAACCTTTGTCGCCAAATCTGCATAGACACAGTAGTTTTTCACACAAGATTATTAGTCGAGCGAGTTATCAAAAGTAAATATGAGTTTATTTTTGTTGTCAATATGTGTTGCAATCTACGAGACTGTATTGCACCATATAATTTCTACGACCGAAGGTGTCTGTCTCATTTTCTTGATAGCCAATAAAACCGCATGCCAAAGTACACACTGCGAAAATCAAAATAGGGTTTATACAATAATTTGTTGTACACATTTCTTATCTATATTAAGTCCAAGTTCAATTAAAAACATTTTTAAGATTAACAATGGCAATTTTCTTTAGGAAATATGCCAGCGTTAGATGTGCAAAACAAATAAAGGTGCTGCATTTAAAATGAACCAATTCAAAACAACATAATCCATTTAATGGCACAACGTTAATACATTTTTAAGCTTCCAGGTTTGTTTTTTATTTTTAAAAAATTCGATCTTGCATTGATGATGCATAGATGTGGGATTTGATACCATTCTCTTGGGTATCTTACGAACCGCCAAAAACTATATATTCTTTTTGACAAGAAAGAACAGATGTAAATTACGGAAAGCGGACCGAACCTGTTTTCATCTAAATTTAATTATTTATTTCAAATGAGATTCCGATGGTGATATTTTTTCGCAAAAAGTACAATAAGTTTAGTACGACACTGTTGGAAAATAAACAAGTTGCTTATATATAAGCTCTAATCTTTCGAATGATAGTTCCCTTGGCAGCAATATGTTAAAGTCTTCCCTTCCGACAGACTACGACAGACTGTGACATTTGTTGTATTGCTTGCCAGAAAGAGAGGAATTTATTCCAGGTTTCATGAAGAAAAAAATACGAAAAATAACAAGTGACGAGTGCTGCTGATCAAGAATATATATATATACACTTTTAATACGTTACAGAATACGAAAAAATTAGATTAGCCCTGAAAGTGTATAATTCTAAATAGTAGAATCATGTTAGCGCATAAATATAGTGATATATAGTATTTTGTAGAACCTGTTTCTATGTTGCCTAATAGATTACAGGTCATCTCCAAGTCGACACTTTCCGACTCGTCTTCCCCCCCACTTGTTTTTGTCAGGTCGACGTTGTTCTTCTCGCTCCCGCTAGAAATTCGCTCAAGGTTAGAAGTGCTGATTAGACACTTATAATAAATAAATTGCTAATAGTAGTTAATGCTTTGCTAAAATCAGTTGTTGGCCCGTCTGCGCATTGAGTGCTTACTGTAAGTGAATTGTGCAAAGTGCCACTCAATAAAATGGGGAACCAATCAACCAAATGAATTAACAAACTTGCGTCCGCAATTCTGTAGCGATCTCAATTAATAGAACTCAACAACAAACAGCATGATAATAATTAACGATAGACTCAGTAAGTTGTTTCGTTTGCATGAGCAAAAGTAAAGCCTCAACTTAAAAGGAAACCACGTGCCCAGATCTTCACTTTAACTGCCAAACTAACAACAACAAAAAAGAAAGAACCAAACAAAAATCAGTGAAAACAGGTTCTACTTAATTAAACTTCGTCGCGTTTTCACAATCCACGGCTAAGAAAAAACACTCAAAAAATAAACACTCAAACGGCTTAAAGCCTTGTTAGATTTGTTGTTCTTTTTTTGTTTACTTTTTTGGCTACCTGACGGAAGCGCAAAGCTTGTCTTCGATAAGATATTTGGCTTTAACGGAGGCCCAACTTTTCAATCCGACAACAGCGAGACGCTCCAAACAACTAAAAATCGTTTGTCGCTTTAAACGCCTCGAAAACTGCAGCCATAAAATAGCCCTAGTCGAAAGTACTAGACCAGAAGATACCCCCTTTTCTAAAGTAAGCATCTGTATATTTATTATGGATGATTCACATAGCACATGCATTATTATATGTGCTTAATCATTGTAAATTGCTTTATATATATATACATATATATATTTACATGCAAACATCATGTTAACATGCAGACAAGCAAATATTCCGCCTTATCTTCAGTTATGCATTCCTACATTGTTTTTATATCACTTCACTTCCTTTTTCATAAACAGGGTATAAAACTGATCGGATTCTTATAAATATCTCGCATTAGCACTCATTGTGTGTCTCTCTCTCTCTCGCTCTCTATATGTCTGTCTCACTCTCTTTGTTTGCGGCAGGCGATAAGCCAGCGTAAGCGTCATCAACCAATAGATTTCTTTTTTTATATATGTCATGATCGTTATAATCGTTGACAAAAGCAAATGTTCAATAAACATCAAAAGATAGTTGCTAGTCTGCAGCACACAGTTGACAACTCATTTGTAAAATCATTCATGGTTGTGTTAATTTACATGTATTTACAATGCTATACAAATTTATAAGTTTTCACGGCTTATCAAGTAGTAAAAGGCGCAACCTTTGCATGCAATTTATATAGTATACGCTTGTAAATATAAAATAGACATACGCAAAACACAGTTAATTTTGTGCTCACATTACAACTACGTCCGTTATCTATTTAAATTTAGTTCAATATTTGTTTTCTGACTTTTTTATCTGCAATCACAATTGTGTATGACAGACTTCCTCATTCGTCTCTCACCTGTCATCCGCTCAAACATTGTATATTTACCTGAACGTAGACAATTTAACTAATATCTATTGCCGAATTAGCAAAAAGACCCAGTCCGATCAAATTAGTCATTGCTATTTGAGAGATTAGATTGCAGTAAGTGAATAAATTGCTACTCATCGTTCCGCATTGAAAAAACCGTTACCAGATCAAGTGTCATAGCATTGAGCATCAGTCAGTGACCATTGGCGGCACCACTTTACCCACAGCAGGGCTGCAAATGATACTTTCCGACAGTGGGCAACACTGAAGCAAATGAATTTCCTTGTGTAGTCGAGAGAATTGTTTTTCTTCCAAAGTCTGTGGAGAACCGGGAACGCGTACAGAACATAAAAGCAGCAAGCGCTCGAGCGTAAAATACACGCAAATACACACACACACATATAAATAAAAAGCATGTCAATCGCTCTTGGCAATAATTATCTGTGAAAGTAAACATCAAGACAACAGAGAGAGAGAGAGAAAGATAGAGAGAGAGGCAAACGCTGCTAATTAATAGCGAAATTAAAGCGAAAATGAGCTGTTAATGTGCAATATTAATGTTACTCCTGAATGCAGAGAGAGCATTAACCAAATTTTGAAACAAAGCAACAATAAAAATACGCTTCCGTCTTCTGAGCGTGCGCCTGCTATGTATTTGTAAATACGTGCGTGTGTACGTGTGCGTACGTGTGTGTGTCCCGCTTTCGACGACTCTCTGTTTTTGTCAGTCAGCATCCTGCAAACGGACGCAAAAACGCAAACCCCAAAAAGCAGTAAAATCATATAGCTCGTAACTAAACAAAAGTGTAAACAATTCAATTGCAAATAACAAAATGGAATGCCGCAGAATTCGCAACGACGACGCTTAATGCCAGACTCTGGCAGCTCTGGCATTCGACATCATCATATGTATGTAGCCGATAGAAATAGTCCACACCAGCATCAGCACCCGGAGCACCCTGTGAAAAGCGCGTTATTATGCAGTGATAATCCCCTCGTAGTTCTTGTTGTTTTTTATGCGTGTGCGTGCGTGTGTGTGTGTGTGTGACGACTGACCAAACGTAATCACCCCAAAAGTAGAGAAAATTTCCAACAATTGACAATTGAGTTTAAGTTGGCAAAGCGGCCACCCCCCTCAACCCCCTCATCAGCCCCAGCCCCCCGCCCACAACAATTTAAACTCAACTCAACTAAAACGCATCATCGCATCAAGATGTCCACCGATTTTCTGTTCCCCAAAATAGCGGACTGCTCCTATGTCTCCTGTTACTGGTGAGTTTAAGTATAAAAAGTGACTACTTTTTTATAAAAGTTAATTTACAGTTTACAGTTTAGTTTTACAATTTAAATATACCATTCTTCATATATTTATGTTTGTTACACATTAATTAGCGTTGAATTCAAAACAGCTTCACATTTTTAACATTAACCGAAAACTGTTTAAAAACAGTTTAATTGTTAAGATTACAATTGGCTTGTTCAACACTCTTTTCACATTGTTTTGTGTTTTTTTTATGAGTTGTGGCTGAAACATTAGCCTCCCACTCCTGGCAGCAAGCAGAAAGTAGCAAGTAGCTTTTGCAACCAATCATCCTCTCATGTTGTGTGTGATTTCATTTATTATGTGCTCATGTCGTGGTTCAGACCCGTTGCTATTGCTCGATTCGCATTTTAACTCACTCCTTCAGTTGCCGCCACCTCTCTCTCTCTTTCTCTCTTAAACTCGCTCTCTCTCTCTCTGCTGTTGAGGTGCCGCCACGCAGCTCTTAAATTGGGTCAAACGGTCATGTCTGCTAACAAGAACAGTCCGCGTGTGTAGGGCAGGGGGTGGTTGGGGGAGTATGGGATTGGCCTGCTGCTGATTAGCAAGGAGGGATTTCATTTGTTTTTCCTTTTTTATGAGCGCATGCAAAAGGCGCGTTTTGACTATTAAGCATGTACCATGTACCAAGATATATATGTACAAACGTATGCATGTATGTATAAATATATATATATATATATCTGAGTACATTAAAACAATATATGACTGCTTGCGTGTTAATGTAAAATTAAAAAAGCCTTTGGCCAAATTTACGCCGATATCGTGCATTACTAAAATAATGGCGACTCTTTCAAGGTGCACAACAGGTAAAATACATATTCAAATATATGTATGTACATTTTACATACATTTTACATATTTATGGACATTTAATAAGCCTCAACGCAAAACATAAACAAAATAAAGCGTTCTCTTCACACACACACACATACATACACACATACACATGCGTGTTTCGTGTTTTTAGGACATTTCATTGATTTTGATGTAGTTGAAAATGAAATGCACATTTTTATTCATATTCATGTAAGTCATCATATAAGAATGTGTGCGTGTGTGTGTGTGTACATTGACTTGCTGCTCATACATAAACACTCTGTCGTTCTCTCTCTCACACTCCACTCCTTTGCTCTCTTACGCTGAGTCGCTTGCTGCCCCTTACCCCACTGTCTCTCGCCGTTCTCTCCCTCTCTCTCACTGTCTTTCACTCCGTGGCGAGTGTGAGAATGACAACTTTTGGGGTAGGACGGGATTAGGGTGTACATTGCTTGGCTTGTGTTGGAAAGATACCGCAACTGACTACCGCAAGCTGAATAAAGTAAGCCGAACATCTCAAATTCTGAATCATTACCCAAAAAAAAAGAAAAATCCACCATCAACTTGCCAATAAAACTGTGCTTACCACACATAAAAACTAAGAGCCGATTTTTAAATGTCTCAACAAAGTCGGCGTTCACATAAACTGATGTGTCTGTTAAAGTGCTCAATCAGCAATTTCCATTTTTTCTTTTGCAAACAATACATTTATAAAGGGTGGCTTTTTTTCTGCTCCAAAACGCTAACTTTTAAATACCGATGGCAGCAATTCTGGTGCATTTGCACATTTTCTTAGACTAAGTTATCCTGCAGTGCGTTTCTCATCAAATTAGCGTTTCATCAAAAAGTTTGCAGCAGGTTATTGAGCATAGCACTGATAAAGTAATTTCTTTAATTTGTGAACTTAAAAACAAATTACCTAAAACCAATAATTATATTATAATTATGTATTTTGTGCCAAAGTTCATTAAAATATTTTAATCTTCAGTCTGAGTGACTGAACGGAATTAGTTTAAAAAGCTTTAGCAAAGGAAGCTTTAGAAGAAACCACAGTTTGTAGTTTGGATGGAACTTTTCGTTTGATATCAGTAATTTCCTCATCTTGGTTCAGATCATCACGTTATTAACGTTTTTGTGCATGGATGAAAACGAGGTTTTGATATAATAATGTTATGCGATGTAAACTGGACACAATAATGTCCAATATCAAGAACAATCCGTTTACTTTTACACAGACCGAATACAAACTGCTTGAAAAATATTGTTAAAAAAAATTTCACAAATCTTTTTCATTTATTTTTTAGCGAGGAGAACGTTTGGAAGTTATGTGAACAAGTGAAACGAACGCGCCCCGAGGAGTTGGGAAAGTGCTACGCGGTCTTTGTATCAAATGAGGGACGGACTGTGCCGCTGTGGCGTCAAAAAGCCGGACGCGGCGATGATCAAGTTGTCATCTGGGTAAGTTGCCTTGCAAATACGCTTGGAACTTTGAAATGAAAATGCTTACTTATATATTGACAGGACTATCATGTATTCTTCATGCACAATCCCCTGCCGAATCGCTGTTTAGTATTCGATTTGGATACTACGTTACCGTTTCCCACATATTTTCATAAATACGTTACAGAAACTTTTCGATCCGATCTGGCACTACGTCCGGAGCATCATAGGTAAGTGAATCTCGTTAATCGTCGTACCCACTAGACTAAAGTTCGGATTTTTTTTTAGATTCTTCAGAGTTATACCCGCCGATACATATCTAATTGAGTTCTCATCGGATCGCCGACACATGCGCCGACCAGATGGCAGCTGGATTAAGCCACCACCTTCATATCCACCCATTTTATCAAACAGTAACTAAATCTCACAAATCTCTCAAAATTCCAACTGCTTACTATTTCATCGTCTGTCTTCTTGCAGCGAACACGCACTGTTTGGGTGACTTTATATGTATGAGTGCTGGTAAGGGACCAGGCTCCGTCTACAGCCTCTCTGAGTTTGTGCAAAACTTTTACAAGTCAGCCCATGTGATGGCTCAACAGAACAATTAGATCATCATTAACCACAACAATATACTATAATTACATATATCAGCAAAAACCAAAAAATTAAGCTAATCTAAATTAAAATTGTTGTTTTCATGGCAACACAAATGATGAGCATTAAATTACAAGACAGTAAATTAAAAATTGCATACATATTCTATACACTTATATACATTTATATTACATATAAAATACATGCATATATATATTCAAATATATATATATATATGTACAATATGGTATTTTTGTATTCAGGTTAATATTAAAAATAAAAGTCTGTATCTAGCGGCTCCTTAAATAATTTATGTATTCAATTTCGACTCTCTATGAATTAACATATAATTATAAACTTTATGTATTCAAAATAAGCGAAACAGAAAAGCTAATATTTTTATTAGTTACATTTCTTTAAGAATTTTTGTGACTTTCGACCAACAAAACATAAAAATTAAATAAAAACGCACCAATTACGATTAAAATATAATCATAAACATACATATTAAATCATATAGTCAATCTCAAATATATATATATATATATATGTATATGTATATCTATATATCTATATATATATATATATATATTTATATATATATATATATATATATATATAACTATAACTATTTCGCCTCTTGCGCTTTGTAATTCAATTAACGAAAGAAATTCGAGTCATAGATAAATCTAATTCTTACACGCTAATTTAATTCGGGATTGCCTGTTTGTTTTTAATTAACTTCAACTCAATAAGAAAAAAGAAATGTTAATTCCATTTGATGACTATGATAACATCTTAACACATCTTAGCTAGTTTTTATACTGTTTGTACGCCATGGAAAACAAACACTAAAGCTGTAGTTCACACAACGCCTAAGCGAATGATTTTTTTATGTGGTTTATACTTATATACTATATTGTAATTACGTATCGTATATTTGTTTAATATTTGTGACACGCAAAGACTGATTCATTGTACGTTCTGTACTGTACTAGCAAAAGGCAGCCGACAAATGAGCCATCCCAAAAACCTACCTAGATACTTTCCAAACGATAACATAAAGCCATGGTATTCTGCAAATATAAAAATGTTATCCTATTTTGATTTGTTATGTTTATCTTTAAATTGAGAGCTTAACAAAAGGCTCTGCATGTTATAAACAAATTTTTCGCTCGATTTGTTAACGATATTCGTATTTTTTATTAATAAGTTTTTACTCAATTTTGTAAGACATTAAATATAAATAATATAAATATAATGTATACATATATAAATGTTAATATATATATAAATATAATAGTTACATTGAATGCTGTGCAAAGTCTCAAAGTTAAACCTACACTTTTTATTATATAACTTTAAACCGAAGAAAAAATACAAAAGAAAATAATCAGAAAACATTTTAAGCATTTATAAGCAAATTCAATTCAAGTTAAAGACGTCATTTGACGCTAAATAAACTATACAAATGTTACGCATAAGTAACACAGTAAATATTTCTGACTTTAGTTCACATCTTTTATATATCTCTCTTCTCTGCTAACAGTAAGAACATTTTATATCAGCAACACGTTCACAATTTTGTACAGCTGTTAAATTCCAAACGAAGCAAAAGCACAACATCAAGTTTTAACTTAAACATTGCAAATAATACGATGTAATAATTATTAATACATGTTTCTCTAGGTGTACAACTTTTTCTCTTCCAAATTATCTAATCCAATTAAATATATAATATATATTGGATACATAAAGTTGAATGTTGGCCATACATTATGTTAAGCCCAATATAAATAATCTTTACAGATATTATGTACATATAGTAAGCAAATAATTTTCGAGCGAGTTCTTAATGAATACGTATCTTCTTACTCTCTTTTTATATGAATACACCATGAAACTAGGTAAGCATTAAGAGCCGGTAGATAAATCCAATTCAACCACCGCTTAAAAATAAAAACAAAAAAAAAAACGCATCTAATCGAAAAAAAAAGTTGACTGCGCTCGTGTTAAGCATTGAAATACTTAAATATAACAATATATCATATATATATATGTATATATAATGATATGTATATGTATGTGTACTTATGTATATAGGCGTAACTTTCTTTTATGAAAATTATTAGCATTATCTTTGTGAAGAATTTGTATGGGCAATATGTGCTACAATTTATGTAGTTAGATCAAATTGAAATTGTGTGGCAATGAGATATTTCAGCGAAAAATGAGAGAAAAAAAACAAAGCCAAAGCAGCTGACAGCAATCAAAACATTTAACAAATTAAAGGAGATACCCTGTACCCAGACCCAAAATAGATATATTCGTTGTTCGACACTGCAATAACTGCGCTTTAAGCCACCACTCATGGGAAAATTCACCTATAAAAGCATAATGCATAAAGCTATTTCGCTCAGTGTGCAATCAGAGCATTTCCAGTCAGCAGTCAGCTAAGGACCAAGATTTTTCTTAGCTCTGTTATTAGTAATGCCACTTTTCAACAATTTATAATTGGGTATGGGGGAAAACAAACAATAAAATTTTTTATAAATGCGTAGCATTTAATGAGATAGATATGCTTAATGCACTGCTGCATTGGTTTCAATTCATTCACCAAATTTGTGCATACAGATTGTACATAATTGCCAGAGAACTGCACGAGTGTCTATTTTTATGTGACTCTAAGTATATATTCACCTCAAAAGCGGTTACGATGTGATTTTATCTATTTATCTTGCCAATCTCTTCCTCCTCTCTCTCTCTCTCTCTCTCTCTCTCTCTCTCTCGCTCTCTCTCTCTCTCGCTCTCTTTCTTCTTATTAGTACAAAACTAAAATAGCAACGTTTAATAAGTATTTTTGTGATCGCATTGATCCAGCGTAAAAATAAAGGCATATGTCAAAATAAAGCCACATAATTATTCCTGTGGTGCTTTTTATACTTAGATATGAAACATATACAGCATATATTAATGCTGTTCATCGTTGCAGTTCTCTGATACATACATAAATACATACATACATACGTACATACATAACCCAATCAAACAAATTGATATACATTTGTCTTGTCCACTGTTTCAAATTTTTTAAAAAAGAATCTTGAAAAATACATTTCACTATTTAATAACAATTGACTTAACACTTAATGCTTAATTGGCTTTAGCCTTTGTTAAACTTTTTATCTTATAAATTAACTATTGATCCAATCATGAAATGTGCTATCGTATTGTTATTGTAATATTTGTTTAAAACTTCGGTATTAATTTTACAAAAGTACATACAATTTATATGAGTCAATGAGGATAGGATTAAATACTTTCCAATCTGCAAAATGTGACGCGCTAAAGCGAAAATAAACATAAAATATAAAATATGTAAATTAAACGATAAAATACTCAAACATTTGTATTTATTAAACTTACTTTGTCTTCAAAATGAATATTATTTAAGACATTGAATGCAATAATATAATATTCTGAGGGGTTTTGGAACTTGTTTAAAACGGATTTTATTCATCTTGCCAAGTCGATATTGATACTCAATACTCGAACTTAATGGATATGCAATAGTTCTTCCAATACACTAATTTGCTGCACTTGACACTTTATTCTAAATATCAATTCATAGTTTTTGGAGTAAAGTCGTGTTTCCACCATAGCAGCCATAGTTTCGAACTGATCTCCAAGTAGTTCCATGATTATAATCTCTAAGGATGTCTCTATAAACTCCTCTGATTGCTTAAAGTCTTGACAACAAACTTCGCATTTTTCCATTATCTGTTCTCATGTTTTAATACTCACCAACCAATCGCGAATTGGATGAGGATGTGGTCCGAGTCGAAAGGCATCTGCTATGGCATCGCTTTGGGCTTTGGGGTTTGTCGCCAACACTGTTTATTAAATGTCAAAAATAATATGTACTTTAATCTTCATTGCTCTTCATTAGGAACAAATTCAAAATCCATTTGTTTCTAATTTTCTTTTTTAAATTGTATGCGTTGCAAATAAGGTAACAGTGAATAAGCTAAGACGACCCAAGTGCGACAATGTTCGCAACAGATTCTCCAACCTTGAAGACCCTGCGGAACGCCCTGCCCCGTGTAAATCTGTACTTTGTCTATAAAAATGGCTACTCCAAAGAAGTAAGTGTGTCCAAGTCTGGAATGGCCTTGAGCTGATGGCGAAACCTTTCGCGTGCAGGTCAAAAACAAGCCGATACGAACGTTACTGGTGGCAAATCGAGGCGAGATAGCGATACGTATATTCCGGGCCTGCACCGAGCTCGGAATCAAGTCGGTAGCCATTTACTCGGAGCAGGATAAAATGCATATGCATCGGCAAAAGGCCGACGAGTCGTATCTGGTGGGCAAAGGCCTGGCTCCAGTGGAAGCGTACTTAAACATTCCCGAGATCATACGAATCTGTAAGGAGCACGATGTTGATGCAGTGCATCCGGGCTATGGCTTTCTCTCAGAGCGCAGCGATTTCGCCCAAGCCGTTATTGATGCTGGCCTCGTATTCATTGGCCCATCGCCGAAGGTGGTGGCAAACATGGGTGACAAGATGGCTGCCCGAAAAGCGGCCATCGAGGCTGGTGTACCCGTTGTGCCCGGCACAGATGGACCAGTTACAACCACAGAGGAAGCACTCGCCTTCTGTGACAAGCACGAACTGCCGGTCATCTTTAAGGCAGCTTACGGCGGAGGTGGTCGTGGCATGCGAGTGGTTAGGAAAAAGGACGAAATCGAGGAGAACTTTAATCGGGCCTCTTCCGAGGCGAAGGCAGCCTTTGGCAACGGTGCGATCTTCATAGAGAAATACATCGATCGACCCCGTCACATTGAGGTTCAACTGTTGGGTGACAAGGCCGGCAATATTGTGCATTTATATGAACGCGACTGTTCCATCCAGCGCCGTCATCAGAAGGTTGTGGAAATTGCCCCAGCTCCACGCCTCCCCGTCGAGGTTAGAGACAAGATGACTGAGGCGGCCGTAAAACTGGGCAAGCACGTCGGATATGAGAATGCCGGCACTGTTGAGTACGTTTGCGATGAATCTGGAGGATTCTACTTCATTGAAGTGAACGCTCGATTGCAAGTAGAGCATACCGTGACAGAGGAGATCACCGGCATCGATCTAGTACAGTCTCAAATCAAAATTGCGGAAGGAAAGACCCTGGAGGAATTGGGACTCGCCCAGGAAAAGATTGTAACACTTGGCTATGCCATACAGTGTCGGGTAACGACAGAGGATCCGGCAGCCGATTTCCAGCCCAGCACGGGACGCATTGAAGTATTCCGGTCGGGTGAAGGTATGGGTATACGTCTGGACAGCGCTTCGACCTTTGCCGGCGCCATCGTCTCACCCTACTATGACTCTCTCCTGGTCAAGGTGATATCCCATTCCAGAGATATGCCAAGCTCAGTCGCTAAAATGAAACGAGCACTGCGTGAATTCCGTATCCGAGGTCTGAAGACGAATATTCCGTTCCTCCTCAATGTGCTCGACAACAAGAGGTTCCTGCATGGTGTACTAGATACTCATTTCATTGATGAGCATCCGGAACTCTTCAAATATCAGCCCTCGCGAAATCGAGCCCAGAAATTACTAAACTACCTAGGCGAGGTGTTGGTCAATGGAGCCCAAACTCCATTGGGCACAACGTTAGCACCTGCCGATATAAATCCGCATGTGCCCGAAATTCCAATAGGTGAATAAACTCTGTGCTCTCTGTTATCGTATCTTAAATATTACTTATTCCATATTACTCAATATCCGATGGAGATCTTACCAAAAAATCGATAGATCGAGAAAAAGATGGTGGGCCAAAAGGTAACTAAAATTGTAATTCCAAACAATAATATTATATATACTTTTCATTAATTTAAAATTATATTTTACTGTCGAACAGTGACGGCACCGCCGGAAGGATTGCGCAACTTTCTCGTTTGTGAAGGACCCGCGGCGTTTGCCAAGGAGGTGCGATCGCGAAAGAATCTAATGCTGATGGACACCACTTTCCGCGATGCACATCAGTCATTGCTGGCGACTCGAGTACGCACCCATGATCTGCTGAAGATATCACCGTATGTGGCGCACAAGTTCCACAATCTATACTCCCTGGAGAACTGGGGTGGTGCCACTTTTGATGTGGCTCTTCGTTTCCTGCACGAGTGCCCATGGGAACGTTTGGAGAATATGCGCAAACTGATTCCCAATATACCATTCCAAATGTTGTTGCGTGGCGCCAATGCTGTTGGCTACACCAGCTATCCGGACAATGTGGTCTACAAGTTCTGCGAACTGGCGGTAAGCGTATACTTAAATACCTGGGGAAGAGTTGGTTAATTGGTATACATTTTGAATAGGTGAAAAGTGGCATGGATATCTTTCGAGTATTTGACTCACTCAACTATTTGCCAAACTTGATTCTCGGCATGGAGGCAGCGGGTAAAGCTGGTGGAGTCGTCGAAGCGGCCATCTCCTACACGGGTGATGTGAGTGACCCCAAACGCACTAAGTACAATCTTAAGTATTATATCGAATTGGCCGATGAGTTGGTAAAGGTTGGCACCCATATCCTCTGCATCAAAGACATGGCGGGTCTGCTGAAACCAGAGGCAGCAAGGCATGAATTTGTAATTTTATTTGAATTTGATTTCGTATTTCATGGATGCTCTTTCGTTCTTCCCCAGGATGCTGGTTTGTGCCATCCGAGAGAAGCATCCCGATGTCCCAATTCATGTTCACACACACGACACATCGGGTGCCGGTGTTGCTGCTATGCTGGCTGCCGCACAAGCCGGAGCAGATATTGTCGACGTGGCCGTAGACTCCATGTCCGGATTGACGTCGCAACCAAGCATGGGTGCCGTGGTTGCCTCACTGCAGGGCACTCCCTTGGACACAGGAATAGTTTTGGCGGACGTCTCCGCATATTCGGCATACTGGGAACAGACTCGCACCCTTTACGGACCATTCGAATGCACGACCACGATGCGAACGGGCAATGCGGATGTCTATTCGAACGAGATACCCGGTGGCCAATATACCAATTTGCAATTCCAATCGTTCTCTTTGGGCCTCGGCGACATGTTCGAGGATGTGAAGAAGGCCTACCGTGAGGCCAATTTTCTGCTGGGTGATATTATAAAGGTCACCCCGTCGTCCAAAGTTGTTGGTGACCTGGCCCAGTTTATGGTACAAAATAAGCTCAGTGGTGAAGAGGTGGTGAAAAGAGCGTCGGAGCTGTCGTTTCCCCAATCCGTAATTGAGTACCTTCAGGGCTATATGGGAATTCCATACGGTGGCTTTCCCGAACCATTCCGTTCCGATATTCTAAAGGATATGCCACGCATTGATGAGCGACCAGGTGCTAATCTAAAGGCACTGGATTTTGACAAACTGGCGGAGGAACTCACGAAAACCTTTGGAAAAATCAGTGAAAGAGATGTCATGTCGTCCGCTCTTTATCCGCAAGTGACCACACATTATATGAATCACCGTGATAAATTCGGTCCAGTTGATAAACTGGACACACGCATATTCCTTACCGGGCCCAAGATAGGCGAAGAGTTCGATGTAACCCTGGAGAAAGGCAAGACCCTAAGTATTAGGGCCCTAGCTGTGACCGATGATCTCAAAGGAAATGGCAGACGCGAGGTGTTCTTCGAAATGAACGGCCAACTGCGCTCCGTTCTCATTCCAGATAAAGAGGCCATGAAGGTAAGTCTACAAGTTGAGCCTTCATCTTACTCACTCCACTTACATATACTTAACTCGACAGAAAATCCATATACATCCTAAAGCGAATAAGGCAGTGAAAGGTGAAGTGGGCTCGCCGATGCCGGGCAATGTGGTCGACATACGCGTCAAGGAAGGCGACAAGGTTGAAAAGGGTCAGCCCCTAGTCGTTTTGTCGGCCATGAAAATGGAGATGGTTGTTCAGTCGCCAAGTGCGGGCATCGTCAAGAAATTGGCGGTCACAAAAGACATGAAATTAGAGGGTGATGATCTGATTCTGATCCTTGAATGAGCAAACACTAGGAATTCCCAAAATCATTTTATCCAGTTGCACAAACAATTAGGAAATTTTCATATTTCAAATGCAATTCGAGCACAATTGTATATGCATCCTTGTATTCATCAAAATATCAGAATCATAATTATTTTATTATGTCTTTTAATGCAACATTTATGAAATTATCGGCAGCTTTATTTGTAATAACAAATTGATCATTTACTTTTTATGATTCTATATGCATTCTTGTATTCAATCAAAATATGAAAATAATATTTATTTAATTCAGTGTTTATTTGCAGCTTAAATCGAAATAATAAATTGATAATTTACATGCACTTCACAATGAACTCCATGAAGGCGAGATCCTTGCTTAGCTCAGATACCCGCTTGAAGTGACGCTGCACATAGGGAGTTAGGACCTCGACCAAATTGCCGTTATTGTATAATTTATGTTCCGTGTTGAGCAATGCATCGCCCAACAAATGCTGCAGCACCAGGTTGGCAATGTACGAGTGTCGAGAATTGGTGCCCCAGGCTTTCACATGCTGCAGCAACGACAATCTCTGATCCATATTCAATTGATCCACCAATTGATGGACGGCGGCAGCATCTCGTTTCTTAACAAAATGACAAATGATGTCGTAGGAGGCTTTTGGTTTGTTCAACGTCAAGGCAAGCATAAATGCCTTTTCCAGCTGCTGCTGGGCGTGCAACAGCGATTGGAGTGTCTGTTCCTGTTGTAACATCGCCTGTCGCTGGTCGAGTGCCTCATTTCGCACAGTATCAGTGATGTCGGCAAAGCGTATCAGCTTGGAATCAGCACCACCCGTATAGAAGAAACGATTGCTGCAGGCAGAAACAGCGATAGACCAGACACGATCGCTATGCTCATCGATGGATTGGACACAGAGGTTGGTCTTGATGTTCCACAGCTTGAGCAGACCATCCGATGCAGCCGACAATATGAATTTGCCATGATCGAGGAACTCCACACGCAATATGGTGCACTCCTGTTCCATGCGTTTCAGGCAACTAAAATTCGCAATGGACCAAATCCTTAGACTACAATCCGACGATGAGGTCAGCACAATCTGATCGACGGGCGAGAACCGGACACACCAAACACCTCGCGTATGTCCACGCAACACGCCGAGCAGCACATTCGAATCAGCTGTCCAGATCTTTGCCGTCTTATCCTGTGATGCAGTGGCCAGTATTTTATTATTTAGTGCATAGGTCACACAATTAACCTCCTTGTCATGCGCCAAGGCTGCATATCTCAGGGAGAAGGCATAATTGTTGCGCTCCTGTTTGTCACGCGTCAATTGCCACACTTTCATGCTGCCATCCTGGCAGGCAGAGGCAAATCCCGTCGCTCCGTGATGGGTGAAAGCAACACAACCAATTGTGGCCGTGTGGCAATTGTTTTGTTGTATCAGCGGCTGGAGCAGGCTATCCTCGTCGCTCGTATGCGACAATTTCCACAGATGTATGCTGCAATCCTTGCCTACCGAGATGAGCAGATGGTGTGATGCAGCCAATGACATCACTATATCTGAGTGTCCACAAATCAATCGACAATTCATATTCTGTTCTGTATCGTAGACCTTGAAGTGTTTGCTATTTGTTGCCACAGCCAAATAGCGATCGTTGTCACCTAGAAAACACATGTCCAGGATCTCATCATTGTAGCCAACCAGCTGCTTGAACAGTTCCAAGTTGACAGCTTCCTTTTCGCTTGTTTTAACATTATAAATAATCATGTTTTGTTCGGTTGTCACCAGCGTTAATTGTTCTTCTTTGTGACAGTAGAGTAGTCGACTTATTTGAAAATCTGTTGTGGTCAGCAGGTCCTTCATCTTCCACGTTTTTGTATCTAGTTGGAGCAGTTTGCCCGAGCCACAGGCGACGAGCAGCTGTGCACCATTTGTTATGTGGCTTACGCCTTCCAGTTCCTCATAGAGTGGTATAACCTTTAATTGTTTGGCCTCCAGATCCAGCTGCCAAACGATTAGCACCTTATCACGACTAACACTTGCCAATTGACATCCGGAATCAGTGGTCTGAAAACTTAGTCCAGTCACTTGGGAGATGTGACCACGCATCTTATGCAGCAATGCCTTCGTCTCGTAGTTCCAACAATAGATCGTATTATCAGAGCCGACGGCAAAGATTTCACTCTTTAAGGGACTGGGATGGAAGCGCAATAGGAGCGCCGGGCCGGGGTAATCTTTGAGGGCGCACAGACAACTATTATTCGCGAAATCCCAGAGTCTTATTGTGGCATCTGCTCCGCCAGTGGTACAAATTAGTTTGCCGGCTGGACTAAACTCGATGCAAACAACGGGACCCTTGTGCTGGCTCTTCCACAGCTTGATCAGCTTCTGGGTGCTCAGCTCCCACAGGCGGAGTAAACCACTTCCGTGTGCGGCAACCAAATGCTCCCGTGACAGGGCAAAGCAATAAATATTATCCTCATCGACGTCAACATCTTCCTGTCTGGTTTTAGCCTGATCATTGTTGCTCTTGCTAACGTTGGCTCCAAAGCTGTGCAGAACTTGAGATGTTTTCACGTCCACCTGATTTACAACATCGCCATTCAAACAATAAAGAAGCTGACCATCTTCGCTCCATGCAATATCGCTGCCGGCATAAAAGTTCGTGTATCGAGCTTCAGCCGCATAACTGCAAAACTATTTATTTAACATAATTCAATGTGTTTTCATACAATTGCTTACCTTTTTTCAGCCATGCTTGTCATTATTTATATATTTTTGTTTACAAAATTACCGCGTGCACATTGGAACTGGTAGGAATGTTCCTCAAGCGAACTGGTTCATATTTTGTTCACATTTGGGAAGACCAATTTAAAATGGTCAATAAAAATTGAAATAAGGGAAAATAATTTACATTTACTCCATAATTTTCCTCACAATAATATTTAATTAAAGCAGTCATTATTTAAAACAGAATTATTTAATAAGTTTTAATTATAATTATTATTGAAACTGGCTCTCTGGTTCAGTGATATGATTTTTTTGAGTTACCCAACACCAAATAAACGATTCAAAAGTGTGGCAACGCTGAGCATGATTTGCAGCTGTCAAATAAAAAGCCGTCAAATCATCGTCCCCAAACTAAACTTGTTCAATTGAAACATTTCAGTTTTCTGATAATAACAACTCAAAAATAAATTCAGCAACAAAATGAGTACTATTGGAACTGGTGTAAGTAAATACAATACATGCAATTAACAACATACAGAACACACATTAACCGGTGCCCCTTGCAGTATGATCTGTCCGCATCGCAATTCTCGCCGGATGGACGCGTCTTTCAGATCGACTACGCTTCGAAAGCCGTGGAGAGAAGTGGCACCGTTATTGGTATCCGTGGCAAAGATTGTGTTGTGCTTGCCGTCGAAAAGATAATTGCCGATCAACTATATGAACCGGATGCAGCCAGTCGCATTTTCACCATTGAAAAGAATATTGGCATGGCCATTGCTGGTCTAATGGCTGATGGCAATTATGTGGCTGATATTGCTCGCCAGGAGGCGGCCAATTTCCGTCAACAGTTCGAACGCACAATTCCGCTAAAGTATTTGTGCGATCGCGTCTCTGGCTACCTTCACGCCTACACGCTATACAGTGCTGTACGTCCATTTGGACTGTCGGTTCTGTTGGCCTCGTGGGACGAGGCGGATGGAGCACAGCTGTATAAAATTGAGCCATCGGGCACATCTTTTGGCTATTATGCTTGCGCCAGTGGCAAGGCCAAACAACAGGCCAAAACAGAAATGGAGAAATTCAAATTTGCCGACATGAACACCGATGAACTGGTGCGCAGCGGTGGTAAAATGTAAAAGATGTCTTGTTTTTAAAGTTACTTCTTTTTTAAAATTATAATATCTACTTGCAGAATTTATCAGGTGCATGACGAGCTGAAGGATAAGGATTTCCGCTTTGAAATGGGCATTGTTGGCAAGGAAACGAACGGGGTGCATCTGATAAATGACGCATCGTGGAGCCAATTGGCAATTGAGGCTGGTGAAGCTGCCAAGAATGCTGATGATAGCGAAAACGAGATCTAGCTTTAAATAAATTTTGAATATGTACATCTGATTTTAAATCGGCTAATCAATATATTTTACATATATGTTGCAAAAGGGAAAATAATACACATAAAATAACGGAATTTCTATGTGCTCTTTATTTTATTGGAAAGATATTTTACAAATTGAGCACCATATTCTATTCGGATAAATTGATTGCAATTTGGAAGGGCTTTGTTTTGTGCGCCTTCCTTTGCCCCTATCGGTGGATTTCAGGGTTGACTTGAGTTGTTATCGATTGTTCGCACGCACATCTCTTTATTTCGCGCCAAAAGAAGTATACAATTAAAGAAGTTTTGTAAAATGACCACATTGATTGAACAGCTAATTTTGAAAATGGGCCTGCACGATGAGCCCAATGTTTTGGGGTAAGTGTTATACTAACAACATTATTCCACGTTTACTGAATCTGAATATATCTCTAGAAAAACAACCGAGCTGATACGATTATTGGAGCTGCGTTCTGCAAATGTTCCACTACAAATAAATGAATATGGCAAAATAGTTTTGTGTGCGGATATTGCATGCACTCTTTTGGGCATTGGATTTGACAAGGAGCAGGCATTGAAACTGTCCGCATTAAGGAAAAGTCATTATGTGAATAACAAGCGCATGTTCAAGAAGCTACTCGATCTCAATGTGCTGGCGACCATTAATGATATCTGCGTCCAGCTAAGTCTAAACGAAGTGGCGCGCAAAGCCGAAGAGTTGCTGACTTTGTTTAAGAACAACATTGCTATGCACGAGCATTCGGATGAAGCAGATCATCCACAATATGCCGCTATGGCTGTTTTCCACGCCTGCCGTCTGCTGAAAAGAAAAGTGCCCAAGGCAAAACTGATGCCCTTCAGCAATTTGCGTCCCACTCAATGGCAACAGTTGGAGCAGCAATGGGAGCGTATGATTACAAAGCATTACAAGGAGATCAATGTGGCAGCTAAGTTAACTGATAAGCATCAAAAGAAAGATATCATAGTTAAAAACAATAGTCAAAAAGTAGAGATTGAAGATTATGAAAAATGGAAGTCGCGAATGTTAGCCTCGGCCGAGGCTAAGCTGAAAGAGTTAGAATCGATAGAGCAGCAGAATATTGATATATAATATATAATCAGTTCATTTTTGTTTATAAAAGCTTGTCATATTGTCACATTCATGGTGCAAGTCTTAGTTTTTATAACTTATTTACTTATAATTATTGTTTTGTTAATAAATCACTTTATCTTTAAAAACGTGATTGATAATAACTTCGGCTTCGTCTACATGCTCTCCATTTGAATTGTGTGCTGAAATGAAGTAAATTATTATCATATATGTGTATACTGCTTAATAATAATTTGCACACCACTATAAAATATCAGCTCCACTTCATTTCGAGTTTCCGGCCAGGTGCTCAATAGGCCCTTCAAATGTTTGCAGAACTTAAGCCAGATTTCGCGTTTCATTTCCTGCATTTGCCATGTGGCAGACAGCTGATGATGCATTGCATCAAAAAAAGATAACATTGGGGTTGCTCCCTCTATCGCAAAGTAGTAAGAGGTGTTATTTATTTTCCTATTTAGTCTATAGACATCATGCTTGAACGGACGATTAACACCAGCACGATTTATAAAATGTGTCTCCAAAGGCTAAAGAAAGAAAACGAAATTATAATCTCAAATCAACATTTTCAAATTTACCTTAGCCTTTTCGAACAATGGGCTGTCAATGAGGCCCTTGACGAACATTTCATCTGGCACGAGGATGATCAAGCGTCTCAAACCAAATTTCACATTTTGGGAATCCTCGTAGTCCGTCATCCGCTGCTGCAGTCCTTCGCCATTGCGCGCGGGTAGTGAAAGTTTTAAATAGCCATGAAAGTAATTGGATGCCATGCCGGCTGCATAATCCAATCCATGTGCATCGCGTATCCAGTGCGCATAGCTCAACGAGCTCTGACTCATCTGTGCATATATGTAGATCCAATAGAGTGGCATATAGGCGAAATCTGAGCAACTGGGCAGCAATTGGTTTAGATTGCCGGTGCGGCCAAAGCGTGCAAAACCCAAAAACATTATCCCAAATGTCAGACATATTGTTTTGCTATTATATGTGAAAGCACGTCTTAAAATTGTCAACAGACGCTCCTCAAGCAAATAGTGATTTCCGTACAGGAAATACTCAGCCAAAGCATAAGACAAACGCTGCATAAAATCAGCGACAAATATAACAATTAAAATCCGTACACAGGTGTCTGCAATGCATATACATAATATTAAGGTGTATATTGCATTTTCATGGCATTAGTGTTGCCCATTAAATACTTACCTATATATTTACCCAACATTTTCGAACTCAAAAGTTTCTTATCACTTTGATCTAGTGGAACTGTCATATTTCTATTTAGCTACACTTCCGAATAATAACACGTAGAAATAGAATAAACTATCGTACTCAACGTGAGCGATTATCGGCGAATGCATAGATGGCTGCAAAAAAAAAACATCGATATATCGATGTAGAAAGCAAGCAAGTGCAAGTGCATTTATAAAAAAAAAAAAGACTTTTTTGTTTCGCTGTTTTTCGGATGATTCAATAAACTGATTAGAAGTAAACAACCGCTATCTGTTATGGTGTTTTACAAATATTTTATTTAATTAATTTAATTAATGAAGTAATTTATTGTTTTTGACCATTGAAACGCATAAGCATGACATATATTATTGCTTAAAAAATTGGATAAACAATACTTGCTTGTCAACTGAATGTTACATATATATATTTATAGACGTAGCCCCAATTCAATTGGGTAAGTCATAAAAGTGCAGAACAATTCTGGTGATAACTCAACATTGTTGATAAACATATAATTTCTGTTTCAGTAGCTACTGCAAGGCATTGTTTTCGTAGCTGTTGTGCTGATAAATAGTACAATAAGACGTGAAGAAGGTTCTGTGAAGACGTGTTAATCACCACGCCTTATTGCGGTTGCAAGCAAACTACAACAAAGACAACACCAATAAGCATCATGCCAATATTATATAGTGTTATAGCGCGCGACACAACGGTGCTGGCCAAGTTTGCCGAATGCGTTGGCAACTTTGCTGAAGTCACCGAGCAGATAATGAGCCGAATTGGGGTACAAAACCACAAGATGACTTACACACACGGCGACTATTTGATACATTATACTTGCGAAAATAGGCTGATCTACATGTGCATCACCGACAACGTAAGCTGCCAATATTTCACTGATTTTAATCTAATTATTAATTATATTTGTTACAATTTGTAGGAGTTTGATCGCTCCCGAGCTTTTCTCTATCTGGCTGATATTAAGCAAAAATTTATACAGACTTATGGCCTGCAAGTGGCCACGGCAATTGCGTATGCCATGAACACAGAGTTCTCCAAGGTACTGTCCCAGCAAATGGTATACTTCAGTCAATCGCGCGAAGTGGATACCATATCCCGTGTAAATGGACAAATTGATGAACTCAAAGACATTATGATTAAGAATATTGGTAAAAATCACTAAAAAAAAAAAACAATTTGTCATTGCATAGTTTCACTCAAGTAATTCTTATCATTCATTGCAGATAGTCTGCGTGATCGGGGCGAGAAGCTGGAGCTGCTGGTCAATAAAACCGAGAACTTGAGCAATAATGTGAGCTGATTATATTACACACATAATAGTCAAATAGTAATATTTATATTCTATTTCAATTGTAGTCGGTTGCATTCCGCAAGGCATCGCGAAATTTGGCGCGCCAAATGTTTTGGAAGAACATGCGGGTCTACTTTATCGTTGGCCTAGTGATTTTATTCATTATTTATGTAATTGTGAGCATGGCCTGTGGCGGTCTCACCTGGCAAACGTGCCTCCATTAAAGTTTACATTGTTATTAGCTCATGCCGATGTTTATTTGCATATTATTACACATTCTTACTATCCATAATCTCTGTTAAATGTAATAAAGATGAATGTATACAAGTATATTTCTACATAATTGCGCTTAAGTTGTGTTTTTATTTCATTTGGCTTCAACATAAACGACATCATTTGCCTTAATGATTCCCTGGCGACGGATACCCAAGTGAATTCCCAGTGCCGGAGATGGGTAGTCAAACAAGCGATAGCTGTAAATGTAAAAATGTACAAATTAAATTATTGTTCTGACTTATTTCACATATATTATATATATTTATATATTATACACCTACCTGCGTAATGTTTTCAAAGGCTCTCCATCGACATCGCGTTCCGCCGTATTCACATTAATGTTTGGTAAGATGCAACGCGTGCAGGGAGCAACTACCCGAAAGACTGTCTCATCGCCAATGCGTATCCATTGCCAATGATCCTCGGCGTATGGTTCGTCCACGTCCATTTTCAAATCAAAGTTGCCACGAAATTGCTGTGCATCGACGGGGCGCTTTAAGCGCGTGTTTAAATCATCGATCGATGATTGATTCATCATCATGTAGCTGGTGGCATCATTAAATGTACCCTAAAAAATAACATAATTAAATATTAGAAATCAGACTACTATATTTGAAAATCATAAAGAAACAGTTAGGCAATCTCAGAGAGACTATATAGCCTTAAGCTGATAAAAATGAATTTGCTTCACATATTTAATGGCAATAAAAAGCATCAAATGCAAAGCGAAAAGTAAAAAAAGAAAATACTGATCTGAACCAACACAATCATAGATGCAGTTCGCACATGGTGATTTATATACCATGTACATATATGTACTTACTGAATCCTCTTGTCTCAGAAAAGGCATATGCTTTAGTTCAGGACTAGTGGCACGCACTGGCACAGGGTATGGATAATAAACTAGCTTCAGACCCGAGTCTTTTTTTAGTATGAACTTCGAGAACCATTTATCAAACCGAGTGCCACACACCATGGCATCTACGGTCACGCCAAAAATGGATGTGTGCACAGCTTCCGAGAGCGTCACGAGCTCCTTAAAATCCAGCTCCAAGTCGGGCATACCCGGTGCACTGAATACCAAACCATTAGGCAACTGCTTGGGCTGAATGAGCAGCATATGCGGATAACCTCGAGCCGTTATCATTTCGTTGTTATTAGTAATTATCATAAATTTCCGATCCCGCACATTTCCAATGCCAATACCCAGAATATCACAATCGTATTCCTGATCGCTGGCCACAGGGAGTGGAGCACACGATTTAACTGGAAATATGTGGATTTTCTGCAAGGTGCCCACGCGACGCCATTTCTCTGGCATCAAATCACGATGCAAATGGCGATAGATTAAATACCCTGCCCCTCCAGCAACGACTACGCCGACGCTCATGCCAATCAGAATCTTATTGGAGAGTCCCCAGCTGGAACTAACTAAATAGACAATCCATATTGTTTAATATTTTACTTTTGTTTTTATATACACACTTGATTTTGGGTCCATTTTACGTGAGTCGCTTATCAATTTTCAGATGATACTTTTACCACTCTTTGTTTGCTCTCCCATTAAAAAGCTCTGAAACAAAAGCTTTGTAAAATGGTGGACAAATTAGGCTTTTTAGCGTCTTGTATTGGCTAAGATCATGGTAAATAAACCTCATTTTTAGGTTTTATTCGCTACATTATGAATTGTATGTTTAAAATAGAACATTTTATGCTGTAGAAGCAGACAAAATTTCAAATTCACCTGATAAAAAGTAAATTGAATTCGCGCGCGTAAATTGTGGCTTCAAACAGTCGAACAGCAAAACAGCTGTTTTTGATCGCGCCCAACTTTGCTTGAAATAAGCTTAACACAAAGGAATACCCTTAATGTTGATTTGCAATCAAAAACAATAGCAAAGTTTGCGATTACAAAACATTTAGCATGGCCGACAGAACTGGAAATGAGGAGAGCCGTGCGCCGGAGAAACTGGATATGGGCAATGATCATTTTAATCCACTGCTTGCGCTATATGCCGCCAAATGTAAGATGACGGAAAATGGCCAGAAGTACTCCCTCAAAATCAGGTCGTATTCGAAAACGCGCTGACAAAATTTGGCGTTTGGCAGCTAAAAAACGTACATGGATAAATCGATGAACTCAAAGACATCATGGTTAAGAATATCGGTAAAAATCACTAAAATCAACAATTTGTCCTTGCATAGTTTCACTCAATCATTGCAGATAGTCTGCGTGATCGGGGCGAGAAACTGGAGCTGCTAGTCAATAAAACCGAGAACTTGAGCAATAATGTGAGCTGATTATATTACACACATAATAGTCAAATAGTTATATTTATATTCTATTTCAATTGTAGTCGGTTGCATTCCGCAAGGCATCGCGAAATTTGGCGCGCCAAATGTTTTGGAAGAACATGCGGGTCTACTTTATCGTTGGCCTAGTGATTTTATTCATTATTTATGTAATTGTGAGCATGGCCTGTGGCGGTCTCACCTGGCAAACGTGCCTCCATTAAAGTTTACATTGTTATTAGCTCATGCCGATGTTTATTTGCATATTATTACACATTCTTACTATCCATAATCTCTGTTAAATGTAAGAAAGATGAATGTATACAAGTATATTTCTACATAATTGCGCTTAAGTTGTGTTTTTATTTCATTTGGCTTCAACATAAACGACATCATTTGCCTTAATGATTCCCTGGCGACGGATACCCAAGTGAATTCCCAGTGCCGGAGATGGGTAGTCAAACAAGCGATAGCTGTAAATGTAAAAATGTACAAATTAAATTATTGTTCTGACTTATTTCGCATATATTATATATATATTATACACCTACCTGCGTAATGTTTTCAAAGGCTCTCCATCGACATCGCGTTCCGCCGTATTCACATTAATGTTTGGTAAGATGCAACGCGTGCAGGGAGCAACTACTCGAAAGACTGTCTCATCGCCAATGCGTATCCATTGCCAATGATCCTCGGCGTATGGTTCGTCCACGTCCATTTTCAAATCAAAGTTGCCACGAAATTGCTGTGCATCGACGGGGCGCTTTAAGCGCGTGTTTAAATCGTCGATCGATGATTGATTCATCATCATGTAGCTGGTGGCATCATTAAATGTACCCTAAAAAATAACATAATTAAATATTAGAAATCAGACTACTATAGTTGAAAATCATAAAGAAACAGTTAGGCAATCTCAGAGAGACTATATAGCCTTAAGCTGATAAAAATGAATTTGCTTCACATATTTAATGGCAATAAAAAGCATTAAATGCAAAGCGAAAAGTAAAAAAAGAAAATACTGATCTGAACCAACACAATCATAGATGCAGTTCGCACATGGTGATTTATATAACATATATATACATATACTTACTGAATCCTTCTGTCTCAGGAAAGGCATATGCTTAAGTCGAGGAACAGTGTCACGCACTGGCTCAGGGTATGGATAATAAACTAGCTTCAGGCCCGAGTCTTTTTTTAGTATGAACTCCGAGAACCATTTATCAAACCGAGTGCCACACACCATGACATCTACGGCCACGCCCCAAACGGATGTGGCAACATCCTTCGATCCCGTCGCGAGCTCCTTAAAATCCAGCTCCAAGTCGGGCATACCCGGTGCACTGAATACCAAACCATTAGGCAACTGCTTGGGCTGAATGAGCAGCATATGCGGATAACCTCGAGCCGTTATCATTTCGTTGTTATTAGTAATTATCATAAATTTCCGATCCCGCACATTTCCAATGCCAATACCCAGAATATCACAATCGTATTCCTGATCGGTGGCCACAGGGAGTGGAGCACACGATTTAACTGGAAATATGTGAATTTTCTGCAAGGTGCCCACGCGACGCCATTTCTCTGGCATCAAATCACGATGCAAATGGCGATAGATTAAATACCCTGCCCCTCCAGCAACGACTACGCCGACGCTCATACCGATCAGCATCTTATTGGAGAGTCCCCAGCTGGAACTAACTAAATAGACCATCCATATTGTTTAATATTTTAATTACAATTTTACTTTTCATTTTATATACGCACTTGATTTTGGGTCCATTTTACGTGAGTCGCTTATCAATTTTCAGATTGTACTTTGATTACACTGTTTGCTCTCCCATTAAAAAGCTCTGAAACAAAAGCTTTGTAAAATGGTGGACAAATTAGGCTTTTTAGCGTCTTGTATTAGTCTTGTATTGCTAAGGTCATGGTAAATAAATTTCATTTTTAGTTTTTATTGGCTACATTATGAATTGTATTTTTAAAAATATCTAATTTTACGCTGTGGAGGCAGATAAATTTTAAATTCACCTGATAAAAACTAAAATGAATTTGCGCACGTAAATTGTGGCTTCAGACAGTCAAACAGCTGTTTTTGATCGCGCCCAACCTTGCTTAACACAAAGGAATACCCTTAATGTTGATTTGTTATCAAAAACAATAGCAAAGTTTGTTATTACAAAACATTTAGCATGGCCGACACAACTGGAAATGAGGAGCGCCGTGCGCCGGAGGAACTGGATGTGGGCAGTGAGCATTTTAATCCACTGCTTGCGCTATATGCCGCCAACTATAAGGTGACAGAAAAGGCGCCGAAAGTACTCTATCAAAATCTGGCCGCATTTGAAACTGCGCTGACAAAATTTGGCGTTTGGCAGCTAAATAAACGACAGAAAACCAATGATGCGCCAGCAACAAAGCACCAAACCGACAGCAGGAAGAACCCATTCACGGCGGATACCACACGCCGTTTTGAGCCGCATCAGATGCCAATTGAGGGTGTCCAGAAACTTAAATACAAACGCAATCTTTACACACATATGGCAAGCGCTGAAGGACCATTGGCGCTGCTACAAAAATATTTACCTGCTGGGCAGGAAAGGCTGTACCAGCGGCGTCTGTGTGTCCACATACGCAAGGAACATGGTATTGGTGGTCGCATTGAGGGCGACTTGGTAGCTTTCGACAAACAATGGAACCTGCTGCTGAAGAACGCCATCGAGTTTCGTCAGCGTCGCAAATATAAATATGGGCAGCAAAATATATGCAACACATCCGCGTTCGAGGATTGCAGCGAGCGACTTCACCAACTGGGCATTGAACTGCCCAAAGTGCATGTAAAGAGTTTAAACCGTAAGAATGTCGAATTGAGTCGGGAATTGCCCCAGTTGATGGTGCGCGGCGAACAAGTTGCTTTTATTACTTTTATTATCAATGCAAAGGAGTAAAGACTGAATTTATATTTATATTTAGATAATTAGTTAGAATGTAATCTTTAATTTGTGTACACCATGGGCACACATTCCTCGGCGGCCACATGAGACGGCGAGTCATCCTCCATGAGATGCTGCAGGCTCTCATTGGGATAGCTAAAGGAAGAGAAATGTGTTAAAATCGATTAGAAATGTGGAGCATAAATCAAGTGTAGTAGCAAGCCTACATTTTGGATGGGCTCTCGTCGCTGAGCATCGTAACGGGAACTGTGGCGGAGGCGCATTCCGGGCTCATCAGTTCAATAGGTGTGGGACGACGCTCCTGCAATTGACGCGTAATTTCCGCTGTGCTCATCGTGACGGAACCAGAGCTACAGGCATTCTTAGCGCCCAGTTGATGTTGTTGTTGATGCTGCTGCTGCTGCACGGAAGGTGACACCGTTGCTGTGGCCATCGCCATTATTGGTTTCTTGCCCGGCTGTTGCGGTGTGTTGGCCACATTTTTGCGCCTGCGTCCGCGTGTTGCTCCACCTACGGCAACTGGCCCGGCATGTGCTGTAGCTGGAGGTACAATCACCTTTGCACCGGCTATCTTATCCTTATGCTTGCGACGCATTGCAACAGATTCCTTGGTCACATCGAGAGCGGATTGCGTTGGGGGTATTGGTTCCGCATCGGAATTGGAGCTATCGGTGGCATCACTGTCACTTGAGTCCTTGGCTGGTTTCTCATACAGCAAGAGGCGATCGATGAGAAACGATCGATCACGCGATACTTTCAGCAAGCGTCGTTGGTTGGTATGCAGCAGGTCCTGGAAATACTCATTCTCCTGCAAGACCATTGATTAAAGGCAATATGATTAATATTTATTCATTTGCATCACTTACATAGATGAGAAATTTTAGTTTGCGCTTCAGGTTGCGATAGCGCTCTTTATAGTCAATGCTCGGATGCTCTGTGCCAGTCGATGCTGAGCTGGATTCAGCTAGACCAACGGGACCAGCTGCTCCAGGAACTGTCGCCGATTGTTTGGTTTGTAGGTGGTCATCATCGCTTTCCAAATGCTGTCGTTCGGTTTTATGGGCTGTGGTTGTTTCATTGGCCAAAGAGCGACAGTACCAGCCCTCGAGCATATTGAATAGTTTCAAATATTAATTTTAATTTTAATGAAATAGTATTTTTCTGTAGTTATTTAAAACGATTTAATTTGTTGTTTGCACGTAGAAGAAGAAGAGTAAATGATAGTCGATACCTTGCTGTGGTATATATCTATCGATAAGTCTCTTAAGGAGTAGAATTTCCTGCCCATCACTAAAAATATCGATACCAACAATTAAAACAATGAGTTTTTAGACCGCACGTGTTGCATTTGTTTATATATGCAATGAGCAAAAAAGTGGTGATTAATAAGCGTGCAAAAGGCCTATCGCGCGATGCGCTGGAGCAGCTAAGCAAAACGGAGTTAATTGACAAAATAGAACAGCTCGAAGCGTACAACTTTCAGCTGAAAAATATACTACAAAAGAAACTGACCGAGAACGACAGAAACAACGCAGAATACACAACGCTTTTGCGGGGAGATACCGAAAAACCAGTAACGCTGCCAACAGAGGAAAATACATCTAAAAAAGAGGGAAAACAACGTAAGTTCAATTGGGACAGGTAAGTGGAGAGCTTGTGTTATTGGATTAATTAATCTATTTGCATTTTGCTTTGCTTTTAGTGCAAATCGGCGACATGTTCTGCTCAAAGTTATGTACTTTGGCTGGGACTATCAGGGCTTTGCCTGCCAGGAGGATTCCAATGAGACAATTGGTGAGTATAACTTGAATTTTAATTCAATAAGCTGTTACCAATTTCTATCATTGCAGAGGCATTTTTGTTTCGGGCATTGATACGCACCTGTCTGATTGAATCGCGGGCAACGTCAAATTATCATCGATGCGGTCGGACTGACAAGGAGGTCAGCGCCTTCTGCCAAGTAATATCCATTGATTTGCGTAGTAAACATGCACCCGATGTCCAATTGGAGTCGGACTCATTGGCAACGGAAATCGACTACTGCAGTCTGCTGAATCGTGTGCTGCCCAAGAACATTCAATGTGTGTCCTGGATGCCATTGCGAAATCATGTGTACAGCGCTCGATTCGATTGCATTTCACGCACATATCGCTACTACTTTCCCAAAGGAGATCTGGATATTGAAGCCATGCGCATGGCCTGCGACCTAATTGTATGTCATGGAGATTTCCGAAACTTCTGTAAAATGGATGTGCACAATGGCGTTACGAATTATATGCGCAATTTACAGGCAGCTAGGATACAGGCGTGTGAAGGAACTGCTGTCGAAGTAGAAAATGATCTAAATTCGGGTGAGTTTTAGTGTTTTTTAATATTTGTTCTTTTATGACTCATGAATCCCTTTTTCTGTTTACAGGCTACACAATGTATTATTTGGAAATACAAGCGAATGCGTTTCTCTGGCATCAGATACGCTGCATTATGGCAGTGCTGCTGCTCGTTGGCCAGAAACATGAGGAGCCAGTTATCATTAGTAAATTGCTAGATGTCGTCAGCAATCCGTGCAAGCCACAGTATACCCCTGCCATTGGTTTACCGTTGAATCTATTCCGCTGTGATTTTCGTGCAAATACCACGCGTCGAACAAATCCATCAGCATCATATTCAGCACCTGACGAAGATAATGCTGCCGATGATGCCTCCTCGTTTAAAATGGAGACTGCTGCACCATGCGAACCCGATCTTACTGATTGGGTTTACAGTGAAGAGAATCTACAGAAGCTTGTCGAGAATGTGCAAAACGAGTGGACGCAGTTCAGCGTCAAATGCACCATGATCCGCAACACACTGGAGCATCTGGAAATGCTTGTCCAGCAGAAGTGTAAGCCGCAAAAGATCAATGCGCAGGCGCTTCTCCTGCAGGATGCGGCCAAGCCACGTCAATATCAGCCACTCTTGCAGCGCAAGCGTTGTGGTAAGTCCTTAACTCTGAAAACAATCTATTAACCGAAGAATAAATTGTATCTTAATCTTTATGCAGAGAGCCTGGAGAATCGCATCGATCACTTTGTAAAAAAGCAAAGGTTATTAGTAAAAGGCGATATGGCAACGGAGGCTAAATAGAATTCAATATATACTATAGAAAATAGGGACATAAATCTTTATTTATGTAAAATATAATTTTGTAAATGGAACCGGCTGAGATTTTGCAGGTTTTGTTATTTTAATTCTAATAGACAAAAAAATATTGATGGAAAACTACCTGAACATTTATAGGTACTTACATTTATTTATTCATTTTTTTATTTTCAAGAAATTGTACAACGTTTTAAAAGCTTAACTTAGATTATTGTAAATAATTTAAATGTTAATTCATTCAATTACTTAAATATAGCGTGCAAAGAGCCAATTTATAAATGTTATTAGTTTTTACAGATATCTCTATTGATACATATATACTATGTAAGCAAGTATGTGTAAATATATACATATGTCTTTTACGTAAGGGTGCATATTACCGGGACTTTGTACGTTTACAAAAAAAGTAAAGAATCTTTACCACTAGATTACTTCACTTACAATTCTTCTCTATATTTACATATTAGTTGGCTTAGTTGTTAACAAATAGGTTTCACATAAAAATAAAAATAGTGCTATAAAATATGCTTCGATATGCATAATTAAATATGATTTGTATTTAAGTGCCCATTGATTTAGCTTTTTGTAATCTGTAATTGTAAAATGGGAAAATATTTAAATATCGTAAAGAAAATTGATTATTTGATGAGTTTGTCTTACTTTCTCCTCAAGACCTTCAGCACTATGGTGCCTTCGCGTACAGTTTTAAAGAGTCCAATTGTTTCGGCATGGCTCATGCCCTGCACAGAGTGTCCATTGATCTCCACAATCTCATCACCTTTAGGAGACAGTTGAAGAACTCAATTAAAGATTCTATTGGAAATAGTTATGTTTAAAAATGTACCTGCTTGCAGTGTGCCATCATCGGCTGCTTGGCCGGAGGGAAAAACAGTCTTGACAAAGATGCCCATGTTGCCCTTTGGTGAATCTCTGCCGCCCACAATACTGAAGCCCAAGGACTTCAAGCCTGGTCCTTTGAAAAATGTAATTGTTTTGGGTGTGCAGCGTCCATTGCCTGGTATAAAAGTGGGTTTTATTTTGTTATTGAATGCATTTGTTAAGTGTGTTTAGTAAGTTATTTAGTTGTTAGAATCTCACCCTCGCTCATGGAGGCTCGAATGACTTCAGCCATTTCCTCATCACGTATGGTTAACTTGGCCACTGGCAGCGATGGACGATGATGCATTAGAGAGGCGGTGGGCGGTGTCAATGATGAGGATGTTACTCCAGCTGCTGCTGATGACGATGATGATGGTGATGCAGTGGAGCAGGAATTATGAAATGGATTAGGCGCAAATAATGAAACGCTTTTTGGCGTATGCTTAATATATATGGAATGGTGTTGTTGTGGTTGTTGTTGTTGCTGTTGTTGTTGTTGTTGATTAGTGAGATCAGTTGTTGTTGTGTCTGTGGTTGTTGTTGTTGCTGTTGCATCTTCTTCAGCTCCTTCGGCTGTTGCTGCTGCTGCTGCTAGCGGCGCTTGCATAAATAAACTGAGCCTCGACGAACTGAGACGGGAGTGTGCAAATCTCAGCGAGCGATAATGTGAGTTGGTTAAATTAATCGAATTGCGAGCGTAATGGGTGCGCTGATTAAACTGCTGCTGACCCGTGGAAGCCAGCCCGAGTGGGTGGGCATCATTAGCCAAGGCGGCACCCTCGGAACAGCGTTTGCGTGCAAGCAATCGCCATTTGTCGTCATCCGCCAGAGAGGAGGCGACACAAACACTTGCCGCCCGATTCGCATACACGGGTGTATAGGAGTCGTTATTGAGATTTAGTGTGGATGTGGATGAGGAGTTGGAGCAAGTGTCTGATTGTTGTTGTTGTTGAGAGTTTTTGTTGTTAAAGAGCGGTGTTAGCGGTGTTAGAGTCAAGCTGCTGCGCTGACCTGAAGAGCTCCGCGCCCGGCGCCTTAACACCTCATTCTCTGGCGCACTCACATCCAGCGAGTGCCGAGGCGTCGAACTCCGACGATGTTGCATCAATGGCATGGGCGTTGGCAACGTACTAACGCTGGCCACAGAACGTGCATCGCACTCATCCAGATTACGTTCCCTTTCTCGATCGTGCTCCTGCTCCTGTTCCACTTGCAGGCTCTGCAAACTGTTGAGAGAATCCGTGCGTTGGGCGTAACTGAGTCGTTGCCGTTGCGTGCTCATTCCATCGATGCGAATTTTGGTATAGAAATCGGTGACAGTCGCAATCTCATCGTGTGCAATCACCAAATCAATGCAGTTCTCCACAAAGCAGCTCAGTAGGCGCTGCACCTCAGCAAACGATTGAATGCCCCGCAAATGTTTACCATTCACATTAACAATCTCATCGCCCAGACGCAGGCGACCATCCCTATGGGGGAGCAGGCGAAACGGAAAGGAGACAAAAAGAGAACGAAGGGGAGAGTGAAAGATATTGGTTATTAAATGTTTAATTTCTATACAAAAAACAATTAAAAATACAAAATATTTGTACTTCTAAGCAATGTCTAAATTCTTCATACAAATATTTTCCTTGATTGAAAAAGACTACATTTTTCCAGTGTACAAATACACTGCACAACAAATATTGTTTTCCATTATTTACTTACTTTTGGGCCATGCCGTATGGCTCGAATTCGACAATTAGATAGCGATACTGCTGCTCATTGTTGTTGGTGACGACCATTTTGGGCGACAACACCAGTCCGATGTAATCCTCCTGGCATTTCCTCTCCAGCTTCAGCTGACGGAAGCGTCTCCTTATTGTCTCCGTTTCATAGTCATAATTATAGCCGCCCAGTGAAACGGGTGCACTGCAAATACTATTCCGCACCGAGGAGCCCGAACCCGATCCCATGCCCATGCCCAATCCCAATCCGAGTCCCATGCCAACACCCTCCGATGAGCTGAGTGAGATGAGCGAATTGCGTTTCAGTGTGCCCGAGGCAATAGATTCTGTATCTCCGCCAGAGATGCTTAGATTATTGCCCAAACGGGCACCCGCTTGGCCGCCATCGCTATCGTAGCCGGACTCATTTGAACTTAGACAACTACTTAATCTTTGGTAAAGTGGTTCCCAGTCCTTGGATGAGATGCTATCGTTGCGCGACACCTGTTGCTCCGGTGAGTGTCTCTGCGGCAAGGGAGATTGCTGTTGCTGTTGCTGCTGCTGCTGCTGCCGTTGGTTTTGTGCCTGTGCCTCCCGCTGCAGTTGCTCGCGTTGCTTGAGCAGCACAGAGCCACCGTTCTCCTCGGGCAGCACGGAGAGACGCGAACGCAGAAAGGCATAGGGAAAGGCGCCACGTCGTGTGGCATCCTGCTGACCACTCGGATTACTAGACGGTGGCGAGCTCAAAGTGCTGCCAGATGCACTGCCTCCACTAGTGCTGCTGCTGGCCGTTAGACATCCGCTCACCTTGGCAATATCATCACAGCTGCTCGACTTTAAGCTGGAGATGCGTGGCAAGTGTTGCTGCTGCTGTTGCTGCAGCTGCAACTGTTGTTGCTGGTGGTGTTGTTGCAAATTTTGTCGCTGCAAATTCAGGCCATCGCTTGGATCATCACATTTGATATATGAGCAACTGGACAACTGGCTGGTGGAGCTACTCCGATAGAGCGTTTGTGTCGTTGGCACCGCCTGTTGGGATGCCTCGGAGGCTTTCAGCAGATTGTGGGAGCGATGATTCAACATGCCCGTGGACCCAATCCGATGGAAGAAATTCTTGAACGCCTTTTGCGGACGTGGCTGATATTGATGATGAGTGGGCGTCGATTGGGCACTCTGACTGCCCCTGTTGGCCACATCCTCGCACGCTGACAACGGTTGTTGCTGCTGTGGTTGAAATTGTTGCTGCTGCTGCTGGTGGCGTTGTTTGATTGTTTCAATGGGTCCCGATTTGCATTTTTTGAGCGTGTTGCTCTGATATCCGCCACAATTAGTTGCTCCAGATGACTTGTGGTTGTTGCTGCTGCTGCTGTTGCTGGATTTGTGCGTTGGCGAGTGAAACAAACTGCGCAGATCTGTATGGGATTTGTGTGTATTGCCGGCGGGCGAATCGCTGCGCTTCAACAAATCCAGTTTGCGACTCATTCGCTTGCCCCACGTGAACACTGCAAAAGAAAAGAGAACTCAATCATAATGTGATTTCTAATGTAATTAGAATATGTTTCAATGCATTCGCAACACCTCAAAGGCGCTGAGACTGTGTTCTGTCCCATCTTCCTTCTGTGGTTTCAGAGGGCTAGACACGTGCTCGTCAAACCGGCATCGACTTGCAGGCATTGAAGCAAAAGCAAAAACCACAACAAAGGTCGGCTCAAAAGATGTGTGTTGACCGCAATTTGAGTGGCAGCTTTGACAGCCAAAGTGTTGCGGTGCAATAAAATTGACTTTCTAAAGCAACAATTTGCTGCACTTTTGTTTATCAAATGCTTTAATGCTATTCAATGGTCGATTTCATAAATTGCTAGCTTATTTTCGTAAAACTAGCCATAATAAAAAGTTGCTCTCAACTGTCATCGCATATTTAAAATTAATCGCGTTAAACTATCGCTAAATCACCGTGCATATCGATATGTCGACGTATCGATACATAAGTATTTTTTGTTTGAGTTTATTTTTGTCGTTGCCAATCAACGGTCACACTGTTGAGTCATTGATTGTACACATAAACAATTGATTTTTCGCTGGCAAACATGTCGTTGGCAGCTAAAAAAATTGCAGAAGCCGAGGCTTTAGAGCGCACAGCAGAAAAGAGCCTGAAAGTGTCAGCGTTTAAATGGGCACCGGACTATGACAGCGCTGGCGATGAGTATTCGAAGGCAGCAACTGCATATCGCATTGCGAAATCGTTCGAGAAAAGCAAGCAATGCTGGTTGAAGGCAATTGATTGCTACAAAAACAACAAAGCCTGGTTCCATGCAGCCAAATCGTATGAGCAAATAATCTTGTTGCTGAAGGAGCTCGATCAATTCAATGACGTTGAGGAGTATACGAATAAGGCGGTCAGTTTGTATCAGCAACATGGATCGCCAGAAGCTGCTGCCGGTGCTCTGGACAAGGCAGGCAAATTGACGGAAGCAAAAAATCCGGAAATCGCATTGCGATTCTATCAGCATGCTGTGGAGATAATCCTCATTGAGGACTCCACACGCCAAGCAGCCGAGTTCGCATCGAAAGTGTCGAGGCTATTGGTCAAGTTGAAGCGCTATGAGGAGGCGACAAAGGCGATTAGGAAACTAATTGGGCTGTATCAGCAAACGGAATCTTATGGACAAATTGGACGTATGGTTGTCGCCCTTGTTCTCGTCCAATTGGCCCTGGGTGACCCTGTCGAGGCGGAGAAGTCGTTCAAGGAATGGTGTAGCTGCTGTGAGACCGAAGAGGTTTCCACATTGCAAACGCTTCTGCAAGCATTCGACGATCAGGATCGTGATCTGGCTGCCAGAATGCTTGCATCTCCATTCATCCGGCACATGGATGTGGAATATGCCATTTTATCCAAGAACATTCCATTGCCAAAGGCCCTGGAGGTGGAGAAGAAATCGGACGCGAACACACTGGACAATGAGGAGGAAGAGGAGGGCGGCGGTTTGTGTTGAAAGATCTGACATGTACCTTTTATTGTTATTTAACTACTAATCACGCTAATTAATCAATGAATGCAATTTAAAATTTAATCGTTAACATATAAATATATAACTAATAAAACGCTCATAACAGTCTTCTTCCTGTTAACTTAAATACGTACTTTATAATCATTGTATTGAAAAATGTACAAGCTAATGTCAATTTTAATTGTATATATACCCTGTATAAAGTAGTATATGGTGTATATATCAATCGCATGTGTAGAGGAATAGATCAAATAGAAAAATATCCATTTAAATATTATTCTTATTAGTATATATTAGAGAGTCCAGTTTGCCTAATTTTAACCATCTTTTGCTACATCAAAGATGGATTTACAGAACAACTAAGCTCGTTATTATATCCTGTAGATAATATTTTAAAAGTGTTATCAAATATATGCCATTTATGAAATCATACTTGTGTCAAGAATTATGTATTTTATATCCCTTTACCAATTTAAAAATAATCAAGACCCCTGGCTACTACCAGGAAATAATTGGAGATGCTAATACACAATGCTAGCTACCAAATAATCCATGTTGATTAAGACCCCAACAGGCAGTCATCTTGAACTGATTTGCCTGCTGTATTCGTAACTTAGTACAGTTAATTATTGTACAGTAAAGACACCTCAACTAAAATTAAATGGACTTCCCCTTAAGAGTCCTTAGCGTGGCCAATCAAATAACGTTAGCCGTAAAATATTTTTACGATCTGGCTTTAACATCAATTGCCAAACACTTAAAAAGGCATTCAAAGTGGTGTTTTCATTTGCAGTCAGAGTTTTTAGCTCGTTAATAAACAAATTTATGCGCTTGTCCCATATATTTATCACGATAACTCGAAGGAAGAGAGAGTGTGAGAGAGTGAGGGAGACAGAAAGAGAGAGAGAGAGAGAGAGAGAGAGAGACAGATGGAGAACTGCCTAAACAATTAGTATAAGACATGCACAATAGAATCAGATGCAGCAAATTTTTCACAACGGATTTGGCCACGATTTTGAAAACTATTTTTAAATGCCCCGCGCACTCAAAAAAAAAAAAGGTTTTCATTTGTAGAAAATCGAATTCAAAAAAGAGAAATAATTCTGATTTTATTTTTAGAAATTATATATAAATTAAACCAAACATATTTGTATTAGTCACGTGTCTGGTTTTTTTTTAATGATTCTATTTTTACATTTTATTTTATATATTTTAAGAGTTTTCAAGAAATTGGTTTATACTTTCCATATTATTTTTGAAAGAAAAAATTATTCGATGAAAGCGCATTTTGAGTGTGTTTCTTAATCATGTTGGACATATTTTTTCGAGTGTAGCCATGCATAGAATTGCCTATCGAGCAGTGAGTGAGGTTTTGAGCTTCGCCTGGGTCTCCACATCTGCATCTGCATCTCCCTCTGCCGAACGACTCTCTGACTCGTGCCAAAGATGTTTAATAGCCGCAGCAAGCCGCAGGCAGGCTTGTGGCGTGTGGCATGTGGCATGTGTTCCGGTAACCGGTAAACTGTGTGGGCGCAGCGTGGCGGCGATGATGCGTTTGCTGCCAGCCTCAATTCAAGTTGACAGTTGAAACAACTCCAACCATAGCTCCACCCAGGCCTGACCGACTTTGTTCCGCCATTCTTTTTGCCCATTTGCCTTTGATTAAAAATTTTCAGCCCCGCTGCAATCAAAGGCGGATTGGTGGAATTGCTGGGATTGGCGGGATTGGGGGAATGGCTTGAGCTGGCTCGTTGGCCAGCTGAAGCTGTGACTGGGCGAGTGTTAAACAATAATAGCAAATGGTGCAGGCATCAATTATATGACAGCCTCTCCGCGAGTAGAATCAAAAAACGACCGCCGGCCACATGCCACAAATTCTACACCCACTTAACTTTCAAGACGGTGTCAAATGCCCGCCAGCGTCCAAACCGGGTGAGAAGACTTGGCTACGAGATGGCTTTGTTGCCATTTTCGCCGACTGACACAGGCTGGACAAGCGGAAGGGGATGGCGAAGGCGAAGGCGAATTGTAAGTGAAGAAAATAAGAAAAATCTTGTTTGCTACATTTGTATGGCATAAGGAAGTGCTAATGTAATAAGATTTGTAACGATTTCTTAGCAATTATGTTGTGTTCTTATTAATCTAATAATCATGATCTTTATTTGACTATCTGGCACTGTTAATGTCTAATTTGGCTTAAAATAATGGAGTGATTTAAATCAAATATGTATTCAGCTTATAAGAAGCAGGTTTGCTTCCAGACTTGACTAAAATCAATTGGTTTGTTTTTACTTAGGAGAATAAATATTGCACATGAAGTCATCTTGGATTTTGAATTAGTATTGTGGTTTGGGATTCTAAAATTAACTGCAGAGCCAAACTGGTATTGTTGTTGAATTTGTTTACTTAAGTTTTGAAAAAGATTGTGGAAAGATTTAACAAAAACGTATCTTTTGACCAATGTGTTCTTATGGCAGCTAAAAGAAAGAAGCTAACGAAAGTCTAAACTCTTAAATAAGTTGTTTCAGTGCACTTAAAATAATATAAATAAATTATCAAAGTCAGTCACTTATTTCACTTTCCATAATACAAAAACTTCTTCCCAGCTTGCCATCTGCAACATTCTAAAACATTTTCTCAGGATATACTGTTGTCATTATTCAAATAATGCGACTCAGAGAAACGTTATAACTTTAAAACCTCTCTCTCTCTCTCTCTCTCTCTCTCTCTCTCTCTCTCTCTCTCTCTCTCTTTCACTCAATAATTGAAGCTCTTTCCTTAAAGCTGTCATTTGTTGTCATATATTTAGGCATGCAGACTTACAACTGGCAATTATCAGGTATCAAATTATGTTCTATAAGCGAGCTTTGCCATTTGCTCATTTGCGTGTCTACCGAGAAAAATGATTGCACATCACTCTTTGAGTGTGGCTGTGTGTGTGTATTGGAATAACACATTCTAATGATGAAATTTAATTGTATTTAATTAGTTAAAGGTGCCCGCTGCCAAGGTCAATGGTGGAGCTGTAAATTGCTTTCATCAGCTCACCAAATAATGGCCATTATTGTGTGGCAATCGTTTTCTTACCGTTTGCTCAAGAGTCAGATTGTGCACAAGAAGCAACAGAAGAAAGAGCATGAGAAATCAATAAGCGCCAACATTGAAGAATCTCTTCGCAACCAGCTGTCGGCAGTCGGCAGTTGCCAGTTGCCAGTTGGCAGTCGGCAAAACATAAATGCTATAATTTCGCACTGGCGCTCTGCGTTCCAACTCCAACTCCATTTCCATTTCCAACTCTTCTCGCTTCCCTTCCTCCCTCCCCCTCCTTAACCTCTCTCCCTCTCATGGTTCATCACACACTTTTGCACGCATGCGCATTTATACTGGGATTATCGCTTATTACATGTTTTTTTGTTGCTTCTTTCGGCTTGATTTATTCCGCTGGCCGATTATCGATCTCGATTCAAGTGAAGGCTTGACTCTGAATCCGTATCGAAGAAGAATTTGCAGCAATCTGAGCGCATACGTGAGATATTATTGCATGCCGGGCGCATTTTGCTTGGCTCATTTCTTTGTTTGCTCTTGTTGTTTTGGAATCATCAGCCATCAACCATGATGGATGCGGTTGTTGCACATGTTTTGGGTCACATTGGTCGCTTCAATTTGGCAACTGGCAACTGGCCACATCGGCCACATTATGCAAATGTTGTGATTGTATATTTCCCATGACATGGTTATTGAACTTCTTCTTGGCCAATCTTTCAATGGTACCGGTTAGTAAATCAATTTTTGGTCAGTAACTAAAAATTGTTAATATGTGAAGTAAGAAAGTGTGTAAGAAGAAATATCGCCATTTTAAGATACCCAGATGAACAAGGTGTTCGAAATCGGTCATACATTTGTATAATTATGCATTGAAAACTATCTTTAACATTTAATTCCAATTAAAAATATAAATATTTAAGTGAAGAAGATTTTAATGCATATTTTCTTAGCTGAAAATAATATTGGGATCCACACAAATTTCCATAACTATTTATTATGAATAAATGATAAGAAATAACATATTTTATCATCCTTTTTTATTCTACCAATTGAAGTTTTTAGGCTTCTATACGATCGGAAAGATATCCAGCCTTAGCTGACTTCAATTCATTTTCTTATCTGAGTGCCATCTGTGTCTCCATGAATTTTCCATTACTTCTTTCACCTACTTACAGATTTCTTTTCTGTCCGCTCAGACGAAGTAAGTAGTTGCCATTTAGCTTCAAGCCCCAATAAATATTATTATTGGCTGCATAACGAGCAGACCGCAATCCAAGTCTCACATAACTCACACAACTCTTTGTCGAATACTTGCTCACATTTGCGAATCATCAGCAGTCAAATGGATCACATAATGCCCAGCTTTGTCACACTTGGTCGCTTATGGGATTTTAGGGCCGTAACTAAAACCACAGTCGCCCGTGCGCCCAGACCTCAGGTACAAAAGATATGTGTAGATACAATATATGTATTATATATAATACCACTGCAAGTTCCATCCCAGTTACAGTCGCAGTTGCTGCTTCGGATCGCATTACAGCAACGACAATGCAAAAATCAGGTCAATACGGTATTTCAGGGTGTGCTATACACACACACACACACACAATACACACACCAACAATACACACACACACACACACACACACACACACACACACACAATACACACCTACAAGTATCGATGACAATCGGCAAAGGTTGATGATGCGTTGACATATGCGGAAATGTTTTTAAACCAGCAGCCAAAATCCAGCATGCGACAGCAAATTGACCGCACACAGAAAAAAAAAAGTCGAGTCTATTCTTAAGCTCAGAGCAACGTAATTGATATTAACCATAGATTAAGCAACTGTATTGTGAAATATTTAATTATGAATTACACATTACTTATTTAAAACATTCTACATTTGAGTACTGGAAGTTATTTAAATATCATTTAATGAGTCTCTCCATTTAATTTGTATAATGCAAGAGCAGCAATTAAAAACAGTAACCAAAATTAGCAGTGGCTGCCACTTGAAAGCACTCACCGCTCGCTAGCTAATTTATGGCCAATCTCTAAAATCTGTGAGGGCTTTCCAATTGAAGCACATAAATTACACTGGCGAACATAAATAGCTAAATGGCAGATATACATTTGATAACACTCGAGACTCATTTGAAAATCAATTTCCAGCGCATTTGGGGCTTTGGGGTGCTTTGTGTACATATTTATATTTAGAATTTATATTGTGGTACTCACCATTTCGTGTGGTGTTGGCCAAGGATGTGGCGCTACCTGTGCTTAGGTTGCTGCCAGCATCGCTGTGCGTCTCAGCAGCTGTTGCCACCAATTTCTGTTCATCATCTAGAACAACCACGGGCACGGCAGTAACCAACTTGTAATCCGGCATATGACCTTGAAATATATAGGAAGTAATCAAATATACTAAAGATTTCGTTCATATTGAATTTTGGTTGAATATCGATGAATCAAAAGTGCAACAACATTTTCAACTGATATAACTTATCAACTTACCAGTAGCACAAAAAATATGCGAATGATAAGCTATAAAAGTTGTTGTTAAAGTCGAAAGCTTGAATACCCTACAATTTCTGTGAAGCTATCAATTTTGAAAATTATGTTATGTTATGATAAGATAAAAGTTTTAAGATATTTTTTTTAGTTACAATTTAACACTTTCTAAGTTATGTTAGTACCTTGCAATTAATATACGTATTTATATTTTGTTACATTACACGTCAATGATAAAAACAAACTGCATAAGAGTAACAATAATTAATAAATTTATTTCAAATTTTAACTGGAAGTTATAGTCTTGCTGTACTCTCATGGAGCTGTTTATAAATATGAGCCCAATGAGGAAGTTGTTCTCAGTTTGCGCGAAATTTTGCACGGCGATGGTTGAGCGGTTAAATCTAAAGATTTGGCTACCATTCTTGGCCTTATTGTTGGCCAATATTCAGGACAGTTATAGCTATCAGCTGGCAAAAACAGTGCTGCAGCAGCTAAATGGAAATGGTTCCCAATTCGATGCATGGACGCAGGAGTTAAGTGAACAACTCAGCCAGGAGGAGCAGCAGCGTATGGCTTGGAATGTCCAGTTTCTGGAGAATTCCGGAGAGGACTTAGGAGAGATGCAAAAACGACTTAATCCCCATAATCAATTCAAACTCTATCTTTGGATGAGTTTTTATTGGCAACTGCGACGCTCAAATCGACTTGGAAGCGATCAAAGATTATTGCCACATTTTGCGATGACTCTGCGTCAGCTGCGAAAGGATCAGGAACCACATTGGAACAGTCTTCAACTGCAAAATATGTTGCAGAGTTTGCCCAGATCCCTAAGAGATTTGGTTAAGAGTCGTTGGTTCTGCCTGAAGCATGACCGGGATCAACTTTATGTCTTGCCGAATGGAGTTGTGGAACTAGGCGCCAACAGCAACTGCAGCATGTGGCAAGCGGAGGAGTTACTGCAGACTGCTAACTACTGGTTACGTTTGCGCAATATCTGCGAGTTGCATGCAACATGGTTCATCAACATGCTGCAGTATAACAAATCGGGTACATATATGTTATTGAATACAACCGACACTAATTCCAGCATTTATTGCATTCGGAATGGAGAAGGCTACCTTCTGCGCAAGGATCAAATGGAAGACCATTTGGAAAACGATTGCCATTGGCAGCTAAATGATTGCACTCAATTGCCAATGATGTTGAGGAGATATTATAAAGTTTAGTTTCTTTTAGTAGAATTTATTTCTCTTTGAGTTATTTCCTATAAATGGAATATATATCCGATTTTCTAAATTGTATTTCATATTTATTTGTGAGTTAACTTACCACTTGACGCCAGTGAAATGCTGCTGCCGCCGTTCACATTTGACTTCTCATAGAGGCAGCTGTTCGAGGCTGAGGTGGCAGCAACCGCTGCAGCAGGATGAAGACGTTGTGCCACATATTGCTGATAGTGTTGCTGCTGTTGTTGATGCTGTTGCTGTTGTTGTTGTTGCTGGGCGCTAGCAATATTGCTGTTGCTGGCGTAGCTTAGCAGAAAGGTTGCTGTACTCGAGTTGTTGACATTGTTGCTCAGTTTATTGGGGACATAAATTGTTGGTTGCAGTTGCTGTTGCTGTTGATGTTGCTGATGTTGCTGCTGTTGCCTGTGCAATGTGTTTGCCTCCTGCAAGGAGATCATCGATATCGCTGACGGCGTCTGTCGCCCACTTACCAGACATGTGGGCGTGGCTGTGCGTAACGGTTGTCCATTATTGCCAGTTGTTGCTGCTGCTGCTGCACCAACGGCAGCAGTTGCTGTGGCGCCGCCATTGCTTGTCAGCGTCGTACAGCTGAGTATCATGACGGCCGTATTGTCGTGCAGATCAGGCAAGGATGAGGATATGGCAACGCTGCTGGCAATACCTTTGCTCAATCGGTTGCTGCATGTTGCCAAGGCGTGAGTTTTATGGTTGTTGCTGTTATTGCTATGGAAAATGTTGCTGTTGTTGCTCAAGTGTTGTTGTTGTTGCTGCTGTTGCTGTTGCTGAGCGGCGCTTAATGTGCTGTATGTGTCCGTAGATTTGCGAGTTTTAAAGAGACGCATACTATAGAGTTGTTGCTGCCACCGTTGCACTTGCCTCTGTTGTTGCTTGCTGGAATTGAAGAGAGGAGTGCTGCATTAGTTTTTCAATCGACTCCAGTCAAATTTAACTAAGGCCTAAAAACCCAATTTGAATAAAACGAAACAAAACAAAATAAAGAAAAAATAGTCCATTTCCAGTTGCGCATTTCGTTCAACGGAGCGTATAATTAACATAAATTACTAAAAGTGTTGTTGTTGCTGTTGCAAATTCAAAGTTTGGTTTAGTTTTTGGAGTTTTAACATAGCCCCCTTTTTGACCGTTTACGGTTGAACTAGTTCAAAGGAGAGTGAACAAAAAAAATACATTAAAAAACTATTTAAGCATAATTAAGAGATGCATTTTGTTAGGTGTTCAAGGTGTCTTCAACTGCTAATAGTAAATTTCTTATAATTTAATTATGTTACCCACGAGTATATCTAGATTAGTTGCTCTGACTGGAAAACTCTCATTGATATTCTATACGATTCATCGCCAGGCAACGTTGCTTAATTTTACACAAACTATATTTAGAGCTCTATTTATAAATTGATGTGCACTGATATTTACAATATATTTGCTACGAATATATATATATATATATGGGTATATATGCAAATCAATGGGGAAGCGATGACAAGGCTTATCAGGCTTATCAAAATCGAGCTGTGAGCTGCGAGCTGCGAGCTGCGATCACTTATCGGTTCAATAAACGTTTGCATATAAGGTGATTATCAAGCAATGTGTTTTCAATAAATAAAAACAAAACAAAACATGTGCAAACATCTTGTTATTTTTGTATATTCCACTCGCTTATATAATATTTGATTTGTTGTTGTTGCTGCTGCTGTTTGCATGCCAACAATATTTGTACTCCACTTAAATCAAGGAAAGGCATTTTCGATTGAAGGTCGCACAACAGCTGTCGATTTCGACTATTGCGTGACATGTGGGCGGAGGAGCAATGAACCAGGCAAAAAGCCAACTGTCAACAGTAACCAGTGAATAGTTAACAACTAACAGAAAATAGTTGTCCATGTAGATCAACGGCCACTTAGATGGCCAATTTACACAACTGCCTTTTACTTTTCAATCACTTGGTTGAATGTGTGCGAGTCAATGTTCATTTTAACCAACTAGCCAAGCATTCGGACCTGGTACTCTAGTCATCTAGTCATCTAGCCTCTGGCCTAAACCTGGTCGCCATCAAGTCAGCCAAGTTAACGTGGCCTCCAATCCGCCTAATTGATGCGACATTTGCGTGTGCATCTATGGACACATTTACTTAGATGCGATTCGTTGGCACATTGGACACAAGTTGTGTAAGAATTTGCTGAAAACTTCTAATATTATAGAAGTATGCAATATAAGAAATAAGATCAATTTGGTCTTGAATTACATTATATATTAAATATAATTTTATATTGAAATTTTTGAATATGAAATATGAACATATGAAAATAAACATTTCAATATTAAATATAATTGATTTAAAAGAAATAAGAATTATGACACTTCAAAACTTTTTCAGCTATGTCTTCCCAAAAACAACAGTTCAATCATTTTATTTGTAGTTCAATCGATTTCAGTAAATATTCAAACTGTTTAACAACCCGTAGTTAAGCCGCTTCTGCTCTTTGCAACAATAGCATCATCGCTTAATCCATTCTACAATTAGCTCTATTCCCCACTGTGCAGAGCCACTTAGCCAAATCGAATGACGCCCCATGGCGCTTTGAACCCTCTTCCCTGTTTCCCTCCTCTTTCTCTCTCTCTCTATCACTGTCTCTCTAGCTATAGAGTCTGCGCTACTGGATAGTAATAATTTTGCTAATTTTATCAGACGCCTTTGAGCCTTGTCTGGCTGATTTTTATGGATGCTTTTAAGCCGTAAGAAAAGACTCTGGACAAAATGTCGTCGTATTGTGGATTTAACTGCTCTTATAATCATTGTCGTAAAATGCCAAGTCGACTAATTAATAGAGTAAAAGTAAAACGTTTTATGAGTGCTCAACATCTGAGATTTGCTTCGATCTAGGGATCTTAGACCATTAGTTTTATAAATGATTGTCATTTCTTGTCATGCTGCGATTTCTAATTATTAAAATGGTTTCGGCTCGTTAAATTTCATATTTAGTTATTATTTCTAGAACGAAATCTGATTTTAACTGAAAGCAAGTATTTATAAGCTATAATATTTAAATTTAATTGAAGAGGCAGATCTTATTTTGTAGGATCTTTTATGTAACCCAGCAGATCTGCTATAAAATCAAGCATTTATTTATTCAAGAATATTAAAAAAGATATTGAACTACTTGCATTCTAACCCGGTTTTTTTTAAGTGTACCCGTCATAGTCGCATTCTCAGTCAACGTCGACGTCGCCGTCGTTGCAATGACTGCGTCTTGTTTATGGGCGAAACCAGTTTCAAGGACGCGTCGTTGGCGCAGTTCCAAGAACCTACTCGGCTCATTACCGAACCCAACTGAACTCAACGTCGGGTTACTCAGTGGGTAAAAAATAAAAATAAAAATAAAAAAAGAAAATCAAAAAACGTGACTCTGATTCCAGAGAGCACTGTTGGCCTGATGTCTGCTTAACTATTTCTTAAATTACATCGCAGTCGGAGAAGGCTTTTAAAGCTAACCGTCGTCCCTCGGGACTCTATCAATTTACCCACTCTCGCATTTTTGTACACTTAATTTTATTTTAATTTGCCTTTTATTAAATTTACTAACTGCATTTTATTTATATATATATATATATATACACACTCACTTAGATATCTCCTCTCTGTGATCGCAGCTATTGGCTTTTGCTCCTGGCCACAAAATCAGAGCCGGCTGCATAGTTGTAAAATTCCTGTAAACAAGCCGTCGCTGCCACAGCTGTGGCATGTGGCAACAGCACGCACACACAAACAAATAAAAGCATATCTGTATCTGTGAGGCAGACAGCAATTGCGCCATTGCATTTGTTTAATGGGTCGTCATCAAAGTTTACGATTTAAATATATATATATAGAAATTCAAAGGAGAGACTTGATTTGTATGTCTGACAAAATCTCATCAAGCTAACAACTTAATTAGGGAGTTATTATAAATAACTAGAAAACTGCTAACGATCCAGCACGATCGCCTAAAATAGTAGACCTTTAAGTGAATAGTCAAATTACTTCGAATATGGATAAATATTTGTGATAAGAAGAAAATATTAAGCAAAATTAGTCACACCTATGGATCAGAACAATATTAAAGATAAATAACTACAATCAATACTATTTTACATAGCAAGAAAAGATATATACATTAGTAGAAAACTGATAATATATAGATATTTTTAGCAGAGTATTAAAATTTGTAGATCGTTCTTTTTTTTTATTCCTTTTTTCAATATAAATCAAAGGATAAATATTAAATTCGCCTTTAAGGCAAGAGCACTATTGAAAAGACATTATTCCAAAGTTTCACGTTTGTGAGTGCCACAAAAAAGGGATTTATTTTTTATTTTTAATAGAAAAGGCGCAGTTCAATAAAACTTATAGTCAAATTCATTTGCTCCTTATAGTTGTGGGTACAAAGCTAAGTCTTGTGAATCTTATCGCTTTCAGCAATTTTACGATCTTTTTTCGCTTTATAGTAAAGGTATTTATATGTCGTAAACTTTTCGCTCCACCTTCGAACGACGCCAACACAACAATAACAACGACAGCAGCAGCAGCAACAGCAACAAAAGCATTATAGGCATCCAGCAGAGTTTGCCTTTTGTTGCCACAAGTTTTGAGTTATTTTTTCTGTGCATGCCTTATTTTCTTTATATTGCCTATCTCTGCCATGCCCCTTATGTGTGTGTGTGGTGTGTGTGTACTTGTGTGTACTTCTGGCAAGTCCGCATTCTTTTAAAGGTTGCCAACTTGGCCAAGCAGTCGTGGAAGCCACTGCCTTTGCAGACCAGTTCGTTATTGGACCAAAAAACAAAATCAAAAAACCGAAAATTGAAAAACACACTCGCAGAATCAAACTCTATTGTACAGCATGATTACCAAAAAAAACTTAAGATTATGATCATTTTTATGGTTTTTATTATAATTATTTCTTATTTCTTTACAAAAATATATATTTATATTTATTTAAATTCATATGTTTTATATTCACTTTATTTTTTTGAGTGCACAAAACATTTGCCCAGCGGCTTTTTATCGGCGCATGCGTTCAGTTTTCATTTTCGTTTTGCGCCCACATTTTGAGGCTCGTTGTTGTTGTTGTTGTTCTTGTTGGCGGCAAGTTCTGAGTGACCGAAAATTGTGTTCTTTTTTTTTTTGGTTCTTAAGAGGCGCTTCGGCATTTTTCGCTTTAACTACCCAAAAACTGAACTGATCGAACGTAGAACTTTTAATTGCAGACAAACAGACAGACATACGAATTTAGAGCTCGTTTGATAGCTGCTGCAAGCTGTTGTTGTTGTTGCTGTTGTTGTTGCCGGTTGCAGTTGTAACTAGATCGCTGCTGAAAAGTTGCTGACCTTCAGCACCTGGCACCTGTTTGCCCAGTCTGCGAGATCAGCAGCAGATTTGGAGGAATTCCTCGCAACAGAGAAGCTAATTAAACATATTAAAACTATAACTATGCTGCTGGCGGATGGCGGATGGCGGATGAGTCATCGCACAAGCAGGTTGCTGTTGTGGCATGTGTTGCTCTTGCGGCAATGCTGCTGGAATGCCGGCAAAAGTTGCATCTCATTCTATAAATAGTTAACCTAATCAAAATTCAAGCGTGTAAGCAAACCATTTTGCAATTTGCATAGTTGCTGTTGTTGTTGTTGGCTGGTGTTGTTGCTGTTGCGACTGCAGCTGGCAATTAAGATTGGCATGCATTGGATAGACATTGGTCTAAATGTCAAGGTAAATTATGATGCTATTCAGCTATTATGTCTAATAGTCAAAAATGCAAAATGCACGTGTGCGCAACTATTTTTAGTTGCTAGTTGCTTGTTGCGCTATAGTTGTTGCTGGTGTTGTTGCTGTTGCTGTTGCC